TTTCGTGACGTATATCGTCTGCCGGGAAAGCCTATGCAATTTCTTCGCGACCGCTAATTGCTGAATTCTCAACTGTGCAGACAAGGCAGCAGTTGGTGGCTGCTGTTCGGTCCTTCAATAAAACTAAACCAAGAGATGATAAAATTAACACGCAATTAATTGGGATACCGGGGAAACAACAGCCTGTATATATTGCTGAACAACTACCATTAAGTACAAAACAATTATTCTATACATCACGTGATTTTGCAAAGAAAAATGGCTTTCAATTCTGCTGGGTTTCCCATGGCAATATATTTCTTCGGCGGAAGGAGGGTGAGAAACAGATCTTAATTAGAAACGAAAAAAATCTTCATGATATCTTAAATAAGCTCTGACTAGTTACTGAATGTAGTAAGTTCTTCAAGCCTTTTAATTGTGTAAATATCAAATCTCTTATAAACCTCATGTACCTAGGCCCATTCAAACAAACTATAGCGTACTATGCATACTTCAAGTTAATATGTTACAATATAACAACACGCTTATTTAAATTTCAATATCACTACACCATTTACACTACTGTACACACAAAACATATATCATCACTTCGTAACAAAATATACCGGTGGATACTGGATGTAATAGACATATTATATTCAAGCTACACTGCTTCACACAATATACAGATACAACATAGCGTTACTACTAACGTCTTTAAGCGTCGCCTAATAATGCGGCTGCCTTTTATTTTATTTTTAATCATACTATGTGGCAACCCGATGCGGACTGTGATGTTCTTTTATAATGCTTGATCTGGACATGTTGAAGGAAATTGACTCATACGGCGGGGTCGATGCCTATAGCTGTAAGCCAGAGCAATGCTTGAAATATATCAAAAACTCAACAAAGTCCTTAACTATCATGCAGCTAAATATTCGAAGCGTAAACTGTAATTTTGATAACTTGACGGTGTTTTTAAGTAGTCTCAATATATCTTGCGACTTGATAATTTTATCCGAATGTTGGCTAAATTCATGCTCCATAATTCCCGCACTGGATGGCTATGTATCGTACAATTCTAGTAACCCTAAAAATCAAAATGATGGTGTTATAATTTTTGTCAAGAGTATTCTTACACATAATATCTCAGAACCACTGATGTCAGACGCTAGTTGTTTGATATGCCATCTGAAGCAATTTAGACTATCTGTCGTGGCACTTTATCGCTCTCCCTCTGTACGTAATATCGAAATATTCTTAAATGGTTTAAATGACGTTTTTGCATCAGTTTCAAGTAGTGAAAATGTTCTTCTTGTGGGTGACATGAACATAGACATATCGGCAGGAAATCTTAATCAACAGGCCCATGAGTACCTCAATTTAACTGCGGCTCATGGCCTGTTACCGTCACATCTATTACCAACACATCGCAACTCTTGCCTCGATCATGTATTTTTAAAGTCAGGGATGAGATCGACATCATTAGTCGTAGACACTTATATTACTGATCATAAACCTACCATAATCAACATAGAGTGGAACCATATACTCCCAAAATCCTCATTAAGTTACATTAAAATCGATCATCCGGCGGTCATCACAGAGATTTCAGCGACTGACCAAAGTGAAATTTTAAATATTACAGACGCAAATCTAGCTGCCGAATTACTAACTGACAGAATTACCTCTATCATTACTAAACACTCCAAATTGATAAAAATTCCATCTAAACATCGTATAATTAAGCCCTGGATTACAAGGGGTTTGCTCCGATGTATTCGTAATAGGGACAATTTATGTCAAAAATCTAAAAATGACCCTGGTAACTATGTTCTCAAAGTAACATACGTAAGATATAGGAACTTTTGCAATAAGCTTATAAGAGGTGTGAGGAGGGAGTTTGAGAGAGCGGAATTCCTTAAAGCCCAGAAGAATCCTAAAGCTACATGGAAAGTTATTAAATCAATTACCTCTACACATCGTAATATCTCATCACCTTCAGAACTTCTAAATATAGCTTCAGATAACAACAAATCGTTGAATAGTGTAAATGAGTTCTTTGCAAACACTGGTAAAAGATTAGCGCAGGCCTTTAGCTCTGCGTCCTCATTTACTGTACCCTTGTCTGAACCTGGACCATCTGGCTCCTTGGTACTTTTACCGACAGACAATGCCGAAGTGGAAAGTTTGATTCTTGGGCTTCGAACTGATGCGGCAGCTGGTTGGGACGGTATCTCGGCGAGGATCTTGAGGAGCTGTCGGTCATCATTGGTGCCTGCGGTGACCCATATATGCAACTGTTCCATATCGACGGGCTGTTTTCCTGAAGTATTTAAAAGGGCAATAGTTCATCCAATTTTTAAGGGTGGTGACAGACACAGTGTAAATAATTACAGGCCTATATCCATTCTACCAGTTATGTCCAAAATTCTGGAAAAAATTATCAACAATCGTTTAGTGGACTATCTGGAATCACAGAATATCCTAGCACCAAATCAGTTTGGTTTTAGAAAAGGAAAGTCTACAGAAGATGTCGTTGCCTCACTTGTGGATCATACTGTAGCAAAGCTAGATAATAGTAAGAAGTGTCTAGGTGTATTCCTTGATATTTCAAAGGCGTTTGACACTGTGTCTGTGCCGCGCCTGCTCTCGAAGTTGGAAAACATTGGTATTCGTGATCTGACTCATAAATTGTTCCGGGACTATTTAAATGACAGAACCCAACGTGTTACCATAAATGGACTATTAAGTGACACTAAATCCCTGTCTTTTGGGGTCCCACAAGGTTCAATTTTGGGGCCGACGCTGTTTTTAATTTACATTAATAGCCTCTGCAAGCTCAGACTACCAAACTGTTGCATATATACTTACGCGGATGATACAGCCTTAATTTTACATGGTAATAACTGGACAGAGACGTATACGTACGCTGAAAAAGCCATTGAGACAGTGATGACTTGGCTGTACGTAAATACGTTAACAATTAACCTGCATAAAACTACTTACATTCCGTTTTGTCCGAAGCCTTCTGCACTACATTTCTTAGATACTCTGGCTCTCAGGGCCCACATTAACATGTGTCCTGGGAACTCTAGTTGTGATTGTCCATATCTTACAAGAACTACTGTAGTAAAATACCTCGGTATCCTCATTGACAATTCATTAAATTGGAAGCAACATCTTGACAATCTCACTTTGAGAATGCGGAAGCTTATCTTTCTCTTTAAAAAGTTAAGGCACTCCGCAGTTCCAGATATACTTAGGACCGTGTACTTTGCATTGGGTCAATCAGTACTCACGTATTGCATTACTGTGTGGGGTGGTGCACCGAAAACGCATCTCCTGAAACTTGAACGAGCACAGAGAGCTATCCTTAAGGTGATGACCTTCAGAACTTTCGGGTACTCGACTACCTTGTTATACTCAGAGTGTAGGATTTTGACGGTGAGACAGCTCTTTATACTCCATACTATACTCCGTAAACATAGCCATCTTCAGTGTGATACAAATGTTATCAGAGGCCGTCGATACTATAAAGTTTGTCCCACCCACAAATCAAAGACTGCTGCTGCTCGGCGTCATTTCCACATTCTTGGCAACTTTCTATACAATAAAGTAAATAAGCTATGTGATATCTACCACCTCACCAAATATAGATGCAAGGTGAAAGTCTATGAGTGGCTTTACACATTGACTTATACAGAGACAGAGAACCTAATAATCCTATCAACCCTTTAGGCTATAACATCAAAAACTATTTACACGAACGGGAATAACGCACACACACACACACACACACATACGTGCGTCAATCACACACACACACACACATACACGCACGCATGCATACTCACTCTCACACACGCATGTTCTTTTTTAATTGTTGCATGTAATAGACATAGTGTCTGTCAATTGTAACCACGCTACATCTGATTGATTGTATTCCAAATGTGAGAGACCTGATACCCATAACACAAGTTAAATCTTACTTTGGGTATCAGTGTCACAACATACTGCTTACCGTGTAATATTGTGATCCTATTTAGTTTTAATTGTAAGTGGTTTATTGTACAACTTAATGCAAATAAAGATATTATTATTATTATTATTATTATTATACTTATATTTATACGTTATGACGGGTATATTATTCTATTATCATATCACATCAACAGCCTTTAATAGTCCACTTCGGGACATAGGCAGAGGCCATGTCCCGAAGTGGAATAGTCCCGATAGTAGGCCAAAACCTCCTTTGGCCAGACGAGTTGGTATAGGGTTTGTGTCAAGTTTTCCTTCTCTTTGCAGTTCTATTGTCCTAGCTGCGTAGTTTGCTCCCTTAGTCGACTCTTACGACACCAACGGTGGTGACACTCCGTATTCTTATTCCGTCACCACACGGAAAATTATTTTATTATAATTAGCACAAAAACGAGTGTTCTGTAAACCTACCTCAATTAAGTTTGATGAAGAAGATGAATGAAGAAGAGAAAAAAACGAAGAAAATTAGATTTCCGCACAATTTGCGTAAATTAAAAAAGTGTTGCTTCGGAAAAACCGTGCGCCATCGGTGAGAAAGCATCTTAGCGACAATAACACTGCACTGCACAATTATAAATCGCCCAGATGCTTGACGGAGCTGTGAAAACGCAAAGGTAATCCAGCGATTTTTCCGCGAGCACTCCTAGGAGGCAGCAGAGGTGGCATGGCGGTGGAGTGGGGGGTGGAACTCCATTTACGTTAAATTATACTTGGCTAATTACACTTTCTTGTATAATATTTTTAAATTTTATGTGTAGAATTTTACTACGAAAGTATGAAATAGAAATATGCATCAAATCCTATTCACATTATAATATTCGGAAACCTGGCATAGTCCCGTCATCTTGACGTCACGAGTTCAGAATAATGAACAGTTAAGTTTTTAATTGGTAAAATAAATCAATTACTCGTATTACACATTTATTAAAATTGAAACTTAGAACAAAAAGTGTACATGGCGTACGTTGTTTAGTCGTTTAGTGGTAGGGCGCGAGGAAGAGCGCGGGCGCATGCAGCGCGGCGCTGTGCGCGTCCCAGTGCGGCGCCAGCGGCGCGCGCGCGCTCAGAACCAACTCCGCGCGCGCCACGCTCGTGTACACCGGCACCTCCACGCTACTCTCGGACACCACTGCGCTCTCACTTTGCTGCGGAACGAATAAAGTACAACGAAACAGATATAATACAGACCGATAGGTCTATTGGTTACTGACAAATTGCATTAATCCGCTAAAGCTCATGGGTTAAACTTAAACATAACTTGTGTCACAGGTTAGCAAAAAGTGGCTTGAAAAGCGCACAGTTGCTGCTAATTATCCAAGTGGTAGTGATGAAAATTTTGCCGTGTGGAACGATGGCGAAAGGTTGCGGCCGGTATTAGTCCGAACAATTCCTCGGAGCACTCTCCATGATATATACGATAGAGAATGCAAAGCGAAGTTACATCTCTACGTAACGCCAAGGGATCGAGCCAGTCGCAGATGTTTTGGCTATCGACTATTTCAGTCGCACTTCTTTGGCTACGGTCCAGAGGGAGAAGCTGGTACTGAGGTGCCCCTGCATAGAGATGAGAACAGTATTCTATATGCAGTCGGACTTGCGCCTTATAGAGTTGGAGGCGATGGACTGGAGTGAAATATTGCCTCAATCTGTTCAACACTCGGTGTGTTAAACAGATTGAGGCTTCTTCGAGGCTAATTTGACCTTACCCTCTAAATAACCGTGAAATTCAACAAGCCTGTCCCTTAGTCTCGATCGCCTGTGCCCACCGGTGTGTTGGATAAACGAGAAGATCACCAGCTGAGCGACCCGGCGAAGACCATAATGTCGGTCATTGAGTAGCTGGTGGTTTTCTAAGTACCGGAGCTGGCAGTTGATTACGGATGCCATAATTTTAGAAAACAAGGGAGTTATGGCTATAGGCTTGTAGTCTGACGGATCAGAGCGGTCACCTGTTTCTGTGTGAATCGGACCTCTGGCATGGTATGATCGGAAGTACGTTTCCCCCCTCATCAAAAGTCGAGTTGGACGCAAAGAGTTCGCTTAGGAGATCGGCATTCTACTTGGCATCAGAGGCCAACGAATCATCGCCCATCTGCAGGGATGGAAGGGATTGGCTACAGAAATTCCCCTGGCCTGCCTTGGCAAGAGGCCAGAATGCACGAGTTCCAGAAGTGTGTCTCTCAGTTTGTGATATGTATCAAAATATTAAATATTAATTAATGGAATTAATGGATTATGGCGGCAACCAGAGGCGGGGAGAGGAAACTGCCTCCATCCCCTGCATTTTGTGTGCTTTATTAAAATACATATATTTATTAAAGTAATGCCAAGACCTAGTGAGGATCGGTTTTATTGTATATACTAGGTACCGTTTTTTTTTTTTTTTTTTTCCGTGCGGAAATCCCCTCGGATACCACCTGTCGGTGGCATGTCGGACTCGAACCGACTAAAACCGCACGCCGTCTCAGGTACTAATAGCCGGGGAACCAGGTATACCCTAGAAAGGAAGTCCCTGGTGCCCCGACATACCTCGGGTCATCTACAGACGAGTACGAGTCCTAAACCCCATGTTCCCTGTGCTCCCTGGAAGCGAGCGCGCTTCGCAACGCGCTCGCCGCCACCCCGGCCTGCTTCTGCTAGGGTGACAGGTGGCCTCACCTGTCACCCCCAGGCCTGCGCTTATGGAGGACGGAGGTCGTTCTGCGACCTGGCCCGTTCCCGGGCCTGGCGGGCCGGGAGAGTTCTAAACCTCTCCCGGTCCCGCTCCGCCCTCTCCTTCGCGAGCATAACTTGCTCGCAGAAGGAGACGGCAGAGTTCCACGCACTCTCGCTCCACACGATAGCCGCAATCAGGCTATCGAGCGAGAGAACTCCCACTTCGATGGCCGCCACGAGGTCTCGCCTCTGCTCAACCCACGCCGGGCACTCTGCCAGCGTGTGGAGAGCCGTGTCCACGGTCTGGCCATCGCAGTGGTGGCACTCAGGCGTTGGCTCCTTGCGGATCAGACACAGGTGATCTCCGAAACATCCCTTCCCAGTGATCACCTGCGTCAATCGGTATGAGAGGGTCCCGTGACGCCTCTCGAGCCAATCCTCCATAACGGGTCTTACCGCCGCGATGACGGCGTGCCCGATACTAGGTACCCTAAACAGAATGAATTCTACGAGTAGAGCAAATGAAGAGCGGGGAACCCGGCTTATAAAAGTTTTTACTCTCCCCTCTGGTATGTAATCTTCATATATTTATAAAAATGTTAAGTTCTGCATCGATTTAACTCAAGTTTTGACACGATATAAAACCCGCTTCACAGATGGTTTTTATCTATTTGCATGTTGGGTTTATTCCTCATTTTTCGTCAAGGACACTAAAATGTGCCACAGCGAAGTGTGGCAGGGTACATACAGCTAGTAATATATATTTTTGTTGTCGAAGTACGGTGTTGAGTTACCTGCGGAACGTATCGCAGGCGCAGCGGCGGCGCGGGCAGGTGCGGCGGGGCGGTGGCAGCGGCGGGCGACAGAGCCGCGTCCCGCCACTCTGCGCCCGTCACGCGCAGCCCCACCACCACCACACCATCACCACCCTCCTCTGGGTAACAATCATAACATTTAGCGCCACATCTTTATACCAAATAATATACTCCTATATTACATCAATTTTGATCCACAATAGTGGAAGGTCAGTCATCAAAGAATAATTAGGATACTGATAAAGAAGAATACCCATTGATGGTTTCACTTTCAGACGTTCGCGTCGTTATTTCAAATGTTTTTTTTTATTTATTTTAATGTGACTTTTCGACCTTGAATCTCTTATAAAGAACTTAGGTTTTGAAATTCAATCTTATAAGGACTAAAACTTGAATCAATGACCGTTTCCATTTTAAGTTAGATGTTAGCATTATATAAAATAAACCATTAATGGTTGAATGTAAATAAAGATCGTTTTAAAATGAAATGGTTACATAATAATATACGTGATAATAATTCGTAATGTCACATTAAAATATATTGCAGTTCAATATTGCATTATTATTTCGTGCATGTTCTTCCCAGACGCGAGAGATGCGTAGGTACTGCCTGGTGCGGAAGGTCCGACCCCAAGGCGTTGTTACGCAGATGCTGACTGGACATGGGGGGTTCTCCCAATACTTGCATCGCTTCAAGTGTCGGGAGAGCCCGTCATGTATCTGCGACCCAGCGCAGGACGAAGACGTCCTGCATATTATATTTGACTGCCCCGTATTCGGGACCCAACGATACGCAGCTGAGCAACGCCTTGGAGTGAAAATCGTGAGGAAAGAGGCACACCATCTACTGGAGACAAAGGACATAAGGCCGCAATTTTTAGAATTCGCAACAAAAATCTGCAAAATTACCACAATTAAGAACAAGTAAATAAAATAAGGCGTATTAAAAGAAACAGAGGATACCAAAGACTCTTGTCATGCAAGAGGTTGACAGTTTTATTACAAAAAAAATGTATATATATTCTCGTTGTAAATATTTTGTCATTTAATTTCTATTTGACATCTTTGACACTACATATCTGACACAGCAATAAAAGTGTTAAATGATTTACATACTGAAATGGGCATTCTCCTTTGTAACTTTATAAAGTAAAGTAAAGCTCAAGCTAATAGGAATAGCAGTCTTACCCGCGGAACAGTCCCACTTGACTGAGAGCACTAGCGCGTGTATAGGACAGCCATGTTTGGCAGCCGCACGTACACGGAGCGCCCACACTACTCGCGACGGGCGAACGAATGAGCGCAAGTCTATCTCTGCACACAACAACGTAATAGAAATAAATTATTTGATAATCCAGCGTTGATTTGCGAAGTCCTCCTCAAAAAACTATTTTTAAATCGATGATCAAATTATCGTTTAATACGACGACAATTTAATACAGATTCCCCACATTTAAACTTCTAAAACTGCATTTATGTATCAAATTTTATTGCAATAGTAACACTGCCAATTTGCGGGAATCTTTTATTTATGTATTACGAAAGTACTATATTTTAAAGGTCATCACCTGTTGTCAAGGTCACCAGCTGTTTTTGTACACTGATTTAACTACGTTTTAAAGGAGAGGTAGGTAAAAAGAAGGTATATAACTTATCCATTTTTTATGTTCCAGTTAATAGGAGTTTATTCAATACTTAAATAAAATATTTTGTAATGTGACAAAATGAGTAATAAGTAGAGGTGTCACTGCAAGGTAGCTATTTTGGCATTTGGACCCACTATAGGATGAATTGGGTATGGTGGTTTATGAGAGAATATAGTGTTACCAACCTATACGATACCGACATATGTTACTGAGTTGTCCGTCATGTCGGTACAGTAAAAAGGAAAAAGACGTACTGTCATCACAGAGTATTCATAAAATGTTTGAGGCACCTGTGGGCATGTAGTCGGGCGCCATGTTGGTGACGTCGATCCTAAAGAGCGCGGCCCGCGCTCGCTCGCCCAGCTCTCGTACGTATGCGTCCGCCTCGGCCGGCCCGCTCCACAACAGTTGCCACTCTTCGCTCGCCTACTCGGTACAAATACATTATATGTATACAGAAACATATGATTAAAAAGCACTCCACATTCATAAAAGTCTAAATAATTTAACAAACACAATATTGTATTGGTATATAATATTAGTGCTTGGCCTCTTCGGTAGTTCGAGCACTGCGTCCGTGTTGTCCCATTTTCTTTCATTCTTAAACTTTCCCTTTTACTATTTTTCAAACTTGCATTTTTAATTCCCAAATGTCCACCCGGCTATCGGCTTGACTCTCTTATTACCTGTTACTATAATCAAAATGAGAAAACTAATAAAAGTTGAAGTATGGACGACCAATGTGGATAATTTCAAAGCTAGGTAATCGACATCAGGTTACAAGCGAGTGATTAAACCAAAACCATTCATTTTAGTATTAAAGTAAAGTTGTAATTTCTTAAAATGTTGTAATTTCTTAAAACATAAGGATGTACAATGTACATAAATAGAAATGCAAGTCGCTTACATGATGTATGGGCTGGTGGTGTCCGTGCGCGCCCCTGGCCAGCGACACGTGCACGGCGCGAGCGGCGCGCGCCACGTCCTGCGCCTCGCCCTCACACACCGCCCACCACCAGCCCGACCCCGACTTAGGACAAAAAAAATACATTATAATTACAATATGTTCTATCAAGTGTACTTGATTAACTAAAGTTTCTTTTTTCCGTATAATTCATACTTTTTGCTCACAAAGGCTTTCGTATCATAATCGAACGTTAACCTACTAATGTTATTGAACTAATTGTTATAAGTATTTATATCCTGCTTCATTATTTTAGTTACTTCCATTATACATCATTGATCTTCGAATATTTTGGAAATTACCATGTAGTAAGTAGGGATTACTGAGCTGAATTTTTGTTGAAATCAGTTTTTCATACTATAGAAAAGTTTTTCACAGACCAGGTGGAGTGACGATTTGCGCAAGATGGCTGGCAGGAGCTGGATGCGAGAAGCCCAAAATCGATCTAATTGGCGTGGAATGGCAGAGGCCTATGTCCAGCAGTGGACTGGGATAGGCTGATAATGATGATGATAGAAAATCATGTGAAAGGCTTTTAGTTAGCTACGCCAAATTGTAAACTCTTTTCTTTCTTTCTTTTACGAACGATTCGATCTTTTACATCGCACCGTATACTGTTGCCGAATAAACGATTTTAGCGTATACGGCAAATTATTACAAAACGTCTATTATTACATGATTAATAGCCGTCATGTGTGTTTTTAACAAATTATATTATTTTCTTATCAGCCGTATCCTTTAACCGACTCTCAAATATTACCATGGTCCTTCGAGCCGAATATAAACTAACGGTTTACGGATAAGTGATATACCTTTTGTTTAATTATATTTTACATAAAGTAGTTTTAAAGATAAAACTGTAAGGAATTATACCTTTTCACTTTGGTAATCTCCTTTTATAAACGGGCTTCCTGACATCAACTTTTTCCATAAGGAAAGTAAAGACTTTAATGGTGTGATGGTGTCATTCTTGTTGTTGGCGCGGACGGTAGAATTTAACTCTGAAAACAGTTGTAATGTTGAGCATTTAAAATAATAATATTTGATTATAAGATTTCAGGGTGAAATTAAAATATATAGGATTTAGAATTTCAGAGAAAAGGTCAGGAAAGAGGTTTTCTAACACAAATATTAATGTACTGGTTTCATCATGGAATATTGAAGACTAATTAAACAAATTAAGTTATATATTACCTTTTAGCGTACTAATTATGCCATTGGCAGTATTTTTTTCCCAGGCAATGCGACAGTTTGCCGGCAGAGACAGAAGCGCTGGTGTGTCAATGTTGGGTAAACTGTCAAACGCCACTACGTACTCCTGTAGATGAAAAATAATGTAATCGATTACTGTCCAAATTACTTACTCTATGAAAACAGGCACCCCGCTGATGCGTCACCACGGTGAAACTATGGAGGTTACGTTAACTTTGTGTTCGGCCATAAAGTCCAGCTTTTTGTAAAAGACTTGATGATAGGCGCCATTTCGTCTCTCAAAAGGAATATTTTTTAGCTCCTATCGGTCGATATAGCTTTCTTCGATAAATAGACCATTCAGCACTAAACTAATTTTTCATTCGAAACGGTCGTTGCTGAGATTAGCGCGTTCAACCAAATAAACAAACAAATTCTTCAGTGTTATAATATACTAGCGGCCCGTCCCAGCTTCGCACGGGTGCAATGTATATACTAAAGAGGCGTGAGTGTAACATGCATATATTATACATACAAACCTTAGTTATGTATCACTCTTTCTATTGATGTTAAAATCCGTGCGTAGTTTGAAAGATCTAAGCGTACAACAACTTGAAGCGACTTCAGTTTTATACCATGTAAAGAAGTATAGATTACGCCTTTAGGCAGAAGTTCTGTTCGATGGGCTTGTCACCTGCAAGTCAGTGGACGCGGGCAGGGGGTGCGACAGACAGGCAGGCTTCCAGCGCGGCGCCAGCACGCCCTCGGCGAGGTAGCGGAGCTGCAGCGCGGCCAGGATGCGTCCGTCGGCCGGCGCGCACAGGCGCGCCGCGTATAGCGCGCCGCACAGGCGCCCGCCCGCGCCGCCGCGCAGCGCGCGCGCCCCCGCCAGCGCCTCGCCCCACTCCCACGCGTACCAGCGCGACCAGCCTGCCGACCAACACGCTTACATTTACCCACCACCGACGTCATGTAACATCCGACATTCAAGGAAATTAACAAATGCTTACTTTCTTAGCGAGCTCTTTCACCATTTTAAAATAGGGAGCTATATTGATCAATTTATATATACATATAAATACTTACTAATTATTGAACAGTAATGTATGTATGTGTTCCTGTTTAGGCAGGAGCACAGAAAGTAATAGATGTTTCATTCCAGTATAAATTACTCAAATATTATGTTTAACCTTGTGGGATGTACGCGCGTCGTTCCTGCACGAGCGCGTGGAACAGCGCCAATGCAGCGTGCAATCGCACCGAGTTCACATCCGCTGAATAATTCCCCCACGCTGACAAAGTACCCATCACATTGTTCTTTACACCCTCCGGGGACTGAAATCATTTCATATTTAGATATTAGTTTTTCTATATTCTATAAATACATCCATGATTCAATTTACTTAAGCAATGCTCTCGAACTATTCGCTCAACAAAAATTACAACTAGATTTTAAGAACAATATATTTAAAAATTAAAATTAATTAGCCCAATCATCAAACAATTAATTATTAATTATAATACATGTATAAAAAAGAAATTAAAATGAATTGTCTAATCATCAAGTAAATGTCAATTTACTTATTATTAATTCGACGTTACTTTATTTATTTCATTTAATGAACAAGGAAAAACTGTCATATATTAGTGCACTTACCTCGAGTATGACATTGACACAAGCATTTGATATGAGAGATGGTATATCGCGATCTTCTGACAGGATCCACAGTCTAAACTCATGGTTGTATTGTTCAGCCTGCAAATAGATGGGTAATTAATTTATTATAAATATAATCAGTTCAATATACATATAAAAATAAAATTAACCGACTTAAAAAAACACGGGGAAACAAAAAGTTTAAATGTGTTAAACAATGGGATTAAACATTTTTTAGTTCAGTGAGATTGTCGTTGTCTGAGTGGTCAGAGATACTGAAAACAAATTACTTACCGGTGATTCGAGGTATGAAGTGATGAAAGTTTGTAAATGGTGCGTAAATGGCGAAGCGCCCACAACTATGGCGAGCCATCCGCTGCTGCGAGAGGATTCCAGCGCCGCTTCCCACGCATGTGTGCCTTCGTCGATACCCACCTATTAAAATCACAGGAACAGGCTATAAAATTGACGCAGTGGAATTTTAACCACATAAAAAAATTAACATAGATAATATTTATCATGTATATTTCAGTGTATTAGTAGTTCAGTAGTATAGTTCGGTGACTTTTCTTTTCTTCTTTAATAGTAAGAGTATTATCAATTAAAAGATGGACTTTTATTGTCATTTATAACACCAGGCGAATTATGAGGTCTCTCTGAGCCATCACTAGTTATGTACGTGTGGTCAGTGGTCATCGCGACGGTGGTGCAGATATAGATGAAACACAGTTACATGTGTGAGTAGCCGGCCGCTGGCGGCTGCGGCGAGAGCGTCGTGCGCGTGCGCCGCCAGCAGCAGCACGGGGCGGGGCGCGCGACTTCGCCGCGCCGCGCACGCTAGCGCCCGCTCCACGCGCTCCGTTCCCTGCATCACGCCGGCGCCTGTACAACACAACGTCTATTGTTTTACTCACTAACAGTGTACGGTCTTTGGCCCGTACACTTTGCTGTAGTCAGCATTTAACGCCGACTGCGATGACCTCAATCGTCATTCAGTTCACCTTCAGCAAGCGTATCGTGTCCTCATTAGCATAAATCATATCATTTTGGTGTGTGAATCGATTAAATAGTTTACAAGTAAAATAAATATCGTTCCTATAGCCTATCAAGCGGTGTACTCGATTCGTACTTTAGGTCCTTCGAGCCGGATATAAAATGAGATCTTTCACCACAAAGTATCTGCGGGTCCCACTTTACTCGTACTGGTCGCAATAACGGATAGAACAAACAAATCTATTCGCTTTTGTACCATGCCAAATCAAACATGCACTCATATCGATATCCGGTATTAAGTATGTAGAAAATCATCATCCCTTACTATCTCAGCCACATAATTTGCCACCCAGTTTTGAATATAAAGCTAAGCTCCTAAAGACTTTAAATTAATTATTTTACAAATCGTTGATATCTCCCTGGTGTCAACAATTAGGGTAGGTCGAGTCGCAATTTTAGAGGACATTCTTGCCTTTACAATGTTTGATAAGTATATAGCTTCATTTTATAATAATAATAATCTAATAGTTTATAAAACGCAACAGTGACAGACAACACCATGGCTCCAGCAGTAAACAGCTAAATTTTAGTATAATAGGAAAAATTTATAGATTCAAGTTTTAAATTGTATAAAAAATCAGACTAAAATTAAAAGAAAAATGTGTACGTGTTGTATTTCTCAAAATACACGTTATATTTCAAATATTTTTTAAAGATAATTGTGGTGGCATAAAATTGTCATACCCAACATTTGGTCCACAAAAGCAGCGATGGCTCTGTAAGCGCTGTCGGGCCGTGTCGATGCTACAACTACCACACCCTCAAATGCGCTCAATTTTAATTTGCTTATTACATTTATATCCCCTGACCGAAGGAACTCCGTCCAAAAGCTTTCATTGTCTAGAGACATCCTGTTATATAAGTCTTCGTTCATAATCTGTAATAAAGTTAAAATACATTAAGAGTAGGTACTGTTGCAGGAGGTAAAACAATAACACTAGTGGTTTGTCACCATACGACATTTTTTTATATATACCAACTTAGATTTGAAGAATTCTTATATACTTACCTTAAGTTTCAAAATTTTCTTGGCGCAGTCTTCCGGTAGCCAGGTGTGTTTGCTTTTTATATCTTTAAGACTTACGGTATCTTCCACTAAGTCGTAGTTACCAATAAAATGTTGCCATAGCTGAAAACAATTAAATAAGCCATCAGAATGATTTAAAATTCAAGATATACTGATAAACGAACTATCAGCTTACCTCGTTGGTTATCTGATCATCATAGACTTGTTTCAGGAGATATAAAACAACGATGTATTTATCTTTTTTGTGTAGACTTAACAGTACCCTCTCAACTAATTTCCTTGTTAAATATTTTGTTACCTCCTCATTATTTATTTTATCTTGATCCTGGAATAAATTAAATTTAGATCATTAGCTGTAGGTTACTCATAATTTTGGATTTTAATTTGTCCTAACTTATTAAGTTTCGTTAAATGTCCTTCAATTGGTGAGAGACAGATTTTGAACTGTTGTATGCTTAACATTTATTGGTCAGAAAGTGATCAATGCTTGCTCAATTTTATTTAGTGGAAAAAGAAGTCAAAAAGTCTTTCGGATGTAACGGGCTTTTTAACTTCACGTTAGATTTTTATTGATTTGATGACTTGTGATTTTTCAAATAAATACAAGTTTGATATATTTACACTTTTTTTTTTTTAAATATTTAATGAGTGAACCTTTTGCATATACTGTTATCTGTTTTATGATTTAACTTTAATTTAGTATATTATATAATAATAATAATCTTTATTTGGATCAAGAAAACAATATATAATTTAAAGATGTTCGATACCAACCATATTAGTTAAAAACTGTGTCATGGCTATTAACGTCCACCTCCAGGAAGGAGACTATAGCATCGTTCCATTGATTACAATAAAATTTTGGTATAATGTGTGTTTGTGTTTGTGTGTGTGTATGTATGTGTGTGTGTGTGTGTGTGTGTGTTTGTGAATGTACGTATTGCGCGCAGAACTTCCTCACCATTTAGTTAGATTCTCCAACTCTTCGTATGAGAGTGAAGCTAGCCATTTGTCCGTAAGCAATCGACACTCTCTGGATGAGTGAGGATAGATGTTTAATGCTTTTTTAACTCTTTTATATAATACTGGGGCGAAATAGATAAACAGGCGTCTAACCACTAGTAATTTAGTTGGATATGTTGGCAGACCCTATCGGAATGCCACTTACGTGCAGACAATTCCAGATCAAAAGACACAACAGAATGTCGCAGTATTACATTAAGCACGAAAGAGTGCCTTTGCGGAATTTTACAAAGTTCGTACAATTCCTTGGTAGGGAAATACATAGGCTTATGAGACATGAACTTCAATACTGCTCTTTGAGCCCGTTCCAAACGTAACATCAGACACTTCCCAGCACCTCCCCAGGCGGAAATACCATAAGTTAAAATGGAATGAGCTAAGGCAAAATAAACGGTTCGTAAAGTAGAGTCCGTGTGGTGACGGATTAAGAATACAAATTGTCACCACCCCAATTCATCCCGTGGGTGTCGTAAGAGCCGACTAAGGGAGCAAACTAAGCAGGACAACAGCATTGCAAAGAGAAGGAAAACTTGAACCAAACCCTATACCAACCCGTCTGGCCAGCGTGGTATAGTAGGCCAAAACCTCCTTTCTAAGGAGAGGCCTATGTCCAGCAGTGGACTAGTATAGGCTGTTGATGATGATGATGATGAAAGTAGATAACTCAGCAGTTTCTCAAGTTTTTAAAAAAACATTTTCTTATTCTTTTTACCATTCTTTTCATTACATATTAAAGGTAAAATTGTTGAATTTTAATTGTATATTCCTTTATTATGTTCTCTTCCTGTGCTGATGAGTAAATTCGCTATAAAAATGAGCTTATTAAAGTTAGAATAATTCAAATCAGCTCCCGACCGAGAAAGACGAGAATCGTGTTTAAATAAACTCACGGGTTGTTTCCTAATAGCGTCAACAAAGGCATCTTGCACGAAATCCACAGGCATTTCTGCGAGCGGCCAGCGGGTGGCCAACTCATTGGTGGCGAGTGCTAGTGTCGCGGCGTGTTGCGCTGACGGTTGGAACGCTTGGGATGCCGCTCGAGTAACTCGCTCGATTTCTCTCGCTTCCGCTAGCGCTTCTGCGATGGTTTCGTTAGTCGCACGCGTTTTGCTCAGTGAGGCCAAGAAACCCGCGTCTTGTAAAATGTCACCCTTGTTTGAAAGCTCGCGAAGTAAGTTCTCCTGTATTTAAATAACATTAATTAAGGTGAGGACATGCTTACTAGACATGGGACAAAATCACAGTGAACTGTAATTTATCATTTGATTTTTGCGTACGTAGGTTAGGGTTACTACTTACTCACGCGTTGTTGCCCATAAGCTGTTTTCAGACGATGCATAAAGACTACCTAGCAACCCTAACATGTTCACAGTTCACTGTGATTTTGTCTCATGTCTAATACTTACTAAGTGCTAACTAAATGTACCAGGTAGACATACCTGTAATTCATGTTGTTGTTTCTGTAGAGTAGCCTTTTTAAGCTTGATTTCTCTGGATTTCGCATCTACTTCAGGATTCTGTTGTTGTAATGTATAGTGAATCAATTGATCTGAAAAAAAAAATTGCCAATATAGACTCATTACAGACTAAGAATAATTCGGTGAAGCATTTGACTGCAACATTAGAATATTCAATTCCTGCTCAATTGAAGAAAATATGTCTATTGTCATTATTTTTGGTTTTATGTATACTGTACTAAACGGTTATCGAACGTGCTCAGTAGCTATTTTATATTATAATTCCTTAGTTCCATAAATAAATCATTTTTAATGTCTACAGCCTCATCTTTTAAACGACTTCCTAACTTCTGCAAATGTATTTAAAATTAAATTTGTAATTTGCATTTAAAAGAATCCGTGTGTTTATTACGAGTGTTAGATGGTGGCATGTAGTGTGAGGGGTGTGTCGGAGTCAGTACCGGTGAGCGCGTGCAGCGTGTGCGTAAAGTAGAGCGGTGAGAGCGTGGCGGCCGCGTGCGGCGCGAGGGGGGGCGCGGCGCGCGCCTGCAGCACGAGCCGCGCGCCCGCGCCGCTGAACTCCGCGCCACCGTCCACCTCGCTGATCACCAGCGTACGAGATAATCTGAAATCATCATTTACAAAATTTAAATTGCCCTTGGCCTATTTATAATTAAAAATCTGATCAAAAGTGCAAGAATTAATTCTCCCAAAAAAGTGCGTTTATAAGAAGTTCATACATAATAAACTTATTCTTATTTCATAAAATAAAATAAATAAATAGCTTACTCTGGTGACAACCTTATGCTGCATTCACTTAGGTTAAGCGAGATTGAAAATTCGGGCATTTATTTAGTCATTTGACGATGCTCAATCGACATCTTTAGCATCCAGGTCCAGTGTGCGTGCACACAAGTGCGTTATCCCAGTACGTTTTTGTAATTTATTTAAATAACTGTTACCTTGAGGCGTATTGAATTGCAGTCATCAACTTCTCACTGCGTTGTGCTACAAAGTCACAATTGGTCTCGGAGAGAGTGTTCTTTAGCCAAGTTAAGCCTTCACCGTCGGGATCCACGATCAACGGAGTAAAACCGCATTTATGAGTCTCCAAATACTATTACAAAAACATGAATTAAATGAAATCCTGCTTACATTTGTCAAGGGAGACAATTTTGAAAAAAATTATTGTGTGCTGTTTTTTAGATTTCACTAAATCTACACCCACGGAATTAAAAAAACCATTGGTCAAAGAAACTTTTTGCTGCTGGGGAATTTATACTTTTATGATTTCTCCTCTAAATACAGTTTTTTTTCCTAAGAATGAATAGTCGCTCAGTAATTTAGAGATGAGAGTTGTATTTTTTAAACATTAAAGGCTTATGTTTGAACAATATTCCACTTGCGATGATCTGAGAGCCTAGTGTGAGTGTATTTCACATCAACTCTAATGGCACTTGGGCCGCTTTCAGCGTTGTGATTGGTGCAGAGTTCAGTGCGGACCAATCGCAACGCCGAGCGCGGTCAATAAACTCACACTAGGCCTCTACCTCATATCTTCTAAGCAAATGTACACTTGCCTAAAAGAGAGCTGTTTCAATATTTGATAAATTGCAGCATGGTATCCTAATAACAATTCTGAGTCCTTACAAAATACGACAGCTTCAGAAAAAAACACACATACCTGGTCAATTAAAACAGCATTTTTAATAGCAGAACTGTCTGAAGGGAGACCATCGGCCTCCCATTTTAGCTGCTTCTCAGTTGTAGATAAGAAATTTATTATTGAGAACGACGAATCCTCAAATTCTATAAGTGCGCTCCATTGTTTTACATATTTCCTGAAATTTAAAACAAGTTACTATTGGTAGAATTTTGGTTAATTTCTTTAGCTTTAATATCATGAGAGTTAAAGAAAGTCAACTATATTTAATTTGTAAAACTTCCACATACTTTTATCTGGGGTAAGATACTTTCTATTTAAATTGTTCTGTAAAATTGAACTGCTTATAAATTTCACGTAGAAGAGTATCACTCAGCGTAGCTAGTAGTTTGTTATTTGTTTAGTAATCAAATTTTGTAAGCACAGATAATTATGTTGATTAAGTACCTTGCTTGGGGTTCTGTTATATCGGGCAAGTATACGATATAAGCCGCTGAGAGCAGGGACCTCTGAGTTAATTGTGATATTTCTATTGATATGTTTTCCAACTGAAATATAGGCATTTTCATAATTAATATTATTTACCAAAGGCATAACAAAAATACCTCTTCGATTACTTACAACAATGTTTATCTTGATATGCAAAGTTAAATTTAAAATTAGAATTATTAAGCATAAAATTGACCAAAACATGCAGGTTGTCACATTTGTGCATTTCTGCACCAAAACCTTAGAGCCTTAAAGCAGATCCGCTCTTAAAAGCATACTAAAGGTTAAACCATTGATGAATGGATACAAATCCATTGATAAAGTTCATAATTTCAAATTTAAATATTTGTTTTTCCTCCTTCCTCCTTTCATTACTGACAAATATAAATTATTTTAATGTATAAATTATTACTGTATTATTGTTTACACCCGTAATTTGTATATTATAAATTATAACACACACACACACACACAAGATTTATCACATCACACTATTTATTATTTAGATCGTCTAATTGATTTGAAGGATAATAAAAATTAAATAAATTTTGAAATGTCTTTTTGAGTTACAAATTGTAAAATAATAGTGACGAAGTATAACGAGTAGTATTATAGTGTGGCATCCTACATCCTGTTCCCAAGTGGTGTATTCATGCGCCAGTTGTCCGAGCAGGCTGGTGGCGGCCGTGATAGTGTTATTAGCGTTCGTCAGCTTGAGCTCGAGCGCGGCCGCATCCCTCGTGTGTTGTCCTAACTGCGCCTCGAGAGCTGCCACACGTTCCTCGACCGTAGCTAGACCCGTCGACAGTGCTGCCATTTGTTGTTCGGCATCCTTAAGATTCCTAAGGTAGGGTAAGGGTAAGTCCGTTAAAATACAAGTAAAAATAAGTAACGAGTAAGTAAATAAGTAAAGTAAAATAAGTGAAGTAATGCGATTAATGGTAAAAAATTCCATGGCGAAAGTCTAAACAATGTTGCTCTGGAGTTCCCGTCTAGAAAAGGTGATGTACAGCTTTATCCTGGCTAATGAAGCATTATGATAAGTGAGAAAGACTGTACTTGTGCAATTTCGCTTGATATGTCTGCAGCGGCTGCACCCGCTGCAGCGCTGCAGCGTAGTGCAGGTTGGCGCGGACCCAGGCCGCCAGTGGCGCGCACGCAGCACTCGCTCGCTTGGCCGTAGCCGCCTCGAACGATGAACCACGCGTTTCCAGCAGTTTCTGCACGCTTGCTAATGCCGATGGGCTGATCTGACTAGCATCCATGCACCTAATTTAGAAAGTTTAATGCGATATAATAATAATAATGTACTTTTCACATTATTCCGGTAACATTCCTGCACTGTCATATTATTTAGCACTAGAAATTAGCACTGGACTGTCATAGAACAATGAACACGCATTGTTATAGTACCGTGAAAAAATTCAAACAATGAAGTGACTATACCAAAATATTTGGTGTGTTTGATTATACAGAAAGAGAGTTTGATAAAACTGGGATGTGAAGTTTTACGGTAAAGAATGCGCAAAATAAATTATTATGTATGTTATTACCTTGGATTAGATCAAATTAAGAAATATGAAATGAAACGAAGAGTAACCTAAAACTGTTAAATAATCACTGTTGTAAACAACAAGTTCTACTGCATTCATGTCACTATAGTTTTACCGTTCAATAGCTTTTAAAGCGCTAGAATAATATAAACGAAATGGTCCAGTCCATCACTGAACTGGATCGACTGACTGCGTTATTGGATTGGAATATCGTATAACGTATAATGAGAATAATAATTTGAACAGTGCTTTTTAGACTCAAACCAAGTATAGCTCTCACATTTTAGAACACGGCAAAACAAATTTGCGGCACATAGGCTGATAAGAAATGGAATGTTATCCTACATAAAACATATACATTCATAAAAATAAAAACCCTTTCAGTATTTAATTTTTGCTCATCTTATCATCTAAATACATATTTTTTAAAATCCAAATGCATGGCATACATTCCTAATTACAGGTTCGATGTGTGAATGTGATCGTTTGGAAGCAGGTAAAGGACGTTTGCTGTAGTGTCAGCAGAAGGTCTTGTGACACATTTTTTGGTCTCGCTACCACCCGCACCTTCCTTCTTCTATCTTCCTTCCACCAGTTCCTTATCGACCGTTACACAGATCGTGTAACGCTCGATAAGGAACTGGTGAACTTCGTTCCAAAAAGTAAAAGCAAAACACCCCAATTTACGGTATAAAAGACATGTTATTATTATCATTTTACCTAATATCTTCCTTAACACCCCGCTTAGATAAGAAGTTCTTCATAGAATGCCACGAAGTGTCAGCGATGCCCATGAGCCGCAGTACCCCTTCAAGTACGTCCCGCACCACCTCCGGCGGTGCTCTCAGCGACCGGACCTACAACATTATCTAATGTTTCTCATACACCTTTTTATGACAAAACAAACATCTCTCGACTTCAAGGGTCAGGCGAACATTTGTATTAGCTTCATATCATGTATCGTTAACGTAATGAACCAAGTCTTATTAATGATTATTTTTCAATTTAAAAATTATACAAGTATCTGATGATTACCTCGCTTAACGATTCTGGTCGTATATCGCCCACTGCGGATCGTGCCGCAGCAATTACTGGTTCAACAGCAGCTAATTCTGCTTCTATTTCTTTTTTCCTGTAATAAGTCATAAATTTTAGACTAATTATCAAGATCGTCATCAATAGTTATAAAAATTGTTGAACAGACAGACTAGAAACGAAAACTGAATTGATCAGTTTTTGCTAATTTATGTGTATCGACATATTTATTTATATACATTTATATAAATTGGTCACGCCATAACTTGAGACCGATTTCATTCATCTTTCTAGTTTTCTAATACTTCGTGGAAGGTTCTCAAGAAAAGAAAAAAATGCGCAGCAAAATTGGAAAATTTAAGAAAACTCAGAAAACAAAGGAACTCGACAAACGAACTCGTTTGAAAGTAGTTCATTAGCACTAGCTTATTTGTAATCTAGAGATATATTGAAATCTGTGATTTATTTTGAAAAAGGCTAATAAAGTTTAACGGTCTTAATTATGACTTCGTGTGCATCATAACTTGTATGCTCGTTAGCCCCACTTTTACAAAAATATATTTAAAACATGTAAAACAACATATACGATACGATTATAGAAGTAATTTAAAATTTAATACGAACTGCGTCTGCAACTTCTCGTTCTCAATCTCTATATTTCTCTTGAGCGTTTGCATCTCATCCTTCTGTTCGGTGTTGGAGCGGACAGTGGCGCTGATCTGTTGTAGCGCATGCGCGGCTTGAGCCTGTTTCTCCCGTAGAGCCACTTCCTGCTGCGCCGCCTCCGTCTGCAGGCGCGCTACGTCGGTACGCGCCCGTCTCAGAGCTTCCACACCAGCCTGACGTTATTTGCAACTTCATTATACAATATATTTTTCTACTAATCTATACTAATTTTAAAAATATATCCATACCAAAATAAATATCTAATAAATAAAAATTTCGTGTCTCACTGTGCTTGTAGTCGCACTCCTCCGAAACGGCTCGATTTTAAAGAATTTTTATTTTGTATATTTTTTGATAGGTATGAGAATAGGTCGTAAAGTATTTTTCACCCCCCCCCCCCCCAAACCCACCCCCAATATGGAGACGAAGGTGCGCGAATCGGCTAGTACTAATATAAATTGGTCTGTTCGTATCGCGCTTAAACCTCTGAAACAATTTTGACGTAGATATAAGTGGGACCTCAGAAGTCTTTTAATTGCGAAAATAATGTCCGGCCGGTCATGTCTCCAGGCGGACTGATGGTCGCTAGAGCCGCCAAAAGCTAAAATGGAGACAGCGATTAGGCAAACGTAGTTTAAGCCGCCCTGCGGCACGGAAACGGCTCGCGGCGAATGGATGCGGACTGTCTCAGACCGGGATGGTTGGCGGTCCTTAGGGGAGGCCTTCGTTTAGCAGTGGACGGCGATAGGCTGATGATTGACATCATATTCAACTTAGCATAGTTTAAAAACAGCTCAGGGACTCACCGATAACATAACTTGTCTCTGCAACAGCGCGGTTTTCTTCCTGCTAATAATATTGTAGTACGTCTTCACAAAACAAACGTATCTACACGGGGCGCGTTTCCACTCCACACCTATACTTTTGTGTATATTTACAAAACCGTTAACAGGCAACGAATCTAGTTGTTCCTTCGATACCTCAACAGCGTTTTCTTTCAGTAACCTAGAAATAGATTAAAATAAAACTAGTCCTTTTGTCTTACACAGTCCCTAAATAATTAAATCGTTATACAAATATGAGTGGAGACCGCGTCTCGGCAGACGTAGTGTAGGACGCCCACAGGCCAGGGCCTCAATTCTGCTATTACGCCAAGCCAGTGTCATACCACTGACACGCTATTGAGATGCCATCGAGTGGCCATTGGCATCGGTATAAATATCGGTAGTTGAAAATATATTACGTTTTTTGAGGAAATGATTTATTTGTTTTTAATAAATTATTAAAAGAAATAAATAAATTAAAATAACTTATTAAAAAATTAAATTTAAAAAAAGAAATAAATAAATTAAAATAAATTATTAAAGAATAAAATAAAAATATTATAAAAAAAGAAATAAATAAATTATTAAAAAAATAAAATTATAAAAAAAAGATAAATAATATTTATCAAAAAAAATAATTAAATAAATAAGTCATTTCCTTATAATTTGAAAATGTATTACGTTTTTTGAGGAAATGATTTTTTATTTTTATTTATTTTTATTATAGTGAATTATTAAAAAATAAAATTACAAAAAAAAAGAATTAAAAAAATTATTAAATAAAAAAATTAAAATTAAAAACAATTTAAATAAACAAATCATTTCCTTATAATTTGAAAACATATTTATTTTAATATTATTTTTATTTTTTTATGTAAATAATTTATTTATTTCTTTTTTTTATAATTTTATATTTTTATTTTTCATAACTTATTTTAATTTATTTATTTATTTTAATAATTTATTATAATAAAAATAAATCATTTCTTCAAAAAACGTAATATATTTTCAAATAATAAGGAAATTATTTATTAATTTTAATATTTTTTTTATTTTTTATGTTTTTATTTTAATAATTTATTTATTACTTTTTTTATAATTTTATTTTTTAAATAATTTATTTTTATTTATTTATTTCTTTTAATAATTTATTATAATAAAATAAAAAAAATCATTTCATCAAAAAACGTAATATATTTTTCACTACCGATATTTATACCGATGCCAATGGCCACTCGATGGCATCTCAATAGCGTGTCAGTGGTATGGCCCTGGCTTGTCGTAAACATAAAATAGCAGAATTGAGGCCCAGGTGGAGTGACACTGTAAAATTCCTAGTCAAAGTCTGTCTATGCAATACGCTAATTATATGATAATTATAATAGTCAAGAAGTGATTTTATTTATAACACGCCCTCAAACCATAAAAAAAAATCATATACTTTTGTTAAAAGAAGACTCCCGCACTAGGAATATATTATCCTGTGTCGCGGGGGACTTTACAAACATACATGAAACGGACACAAAGGACACGCAGACTCAGAACAACAATTTGTGGATTACACAAAGTGTTGTCCCATGTGGGGGTCGAACCCACATCACTCAGCGTAGTAGGAAGCGGCGAGGAGACGTCTTAATCCACTACGCCATACGTGCATCAATTTTATTTTTTTATTAAAGATTTTCTTCAGGTGTACTGGTCAGGATTCGAACCCACGACCTCTTGATCGCAAGTCCAATACCTTAACCACTATGCTATGGCCGCTATTATTGTGAAAACACGTATAAGTTAAAAACATAGATAAGTAGGCTAAGTGCATTATATTACAAAAAACTTAGACCAAGTGCAAAACATATAAAGTGCGACACACCGTTGCGAAATGATTTAGTGCAAAGATACTATGTACAAAGAACTCTTAAGACAAGTGCATGATGAGACACTCTTGTACCTTTGCACGACCAGACGTGGCATTGCACGCAAGGTCTCGTCTGACCAACGTTCTATCCACACAATATTTCCATCGTTGTAAAGCAGTGGGTAATTGTTCATCAACTCTGAGAGGTTTTCTTGACTTTTGTCTAAGCACACTACAATTCCGAGGTTTGATTTTATGTCTGTGAAGGTTTTTAAATAAAATTACATTCGCTTTGGATAGGTATCAATAATATTTGGTTGAAATTGTCTGATATATTTTCTTATTGTCCTCGAATTGGCAATAATAGCAGTCTAACTGTTTTACCAAAGGATGCTTAGTGCAGGCAAGCACTTATAAAAGAAATTCATTTTGGGATTCGTTTAATGGTTTTAATCTCATCAATATATAATGTACCATTCGTAAACAAACAATAAAGTACAATATATGAGCTGGAAGTTTACTTCTCATATAGTAACTTTATGCGTAATGTACATACGTATGCGAGCCATGTTTCGGCAGATATGGGCGGGCTCGACCGGAGTGATACCAACTCCTCAGAAATCCGTTTTTAAGCAATGACGTCCTATTTCCAGCGAGTGACTGAGATTAACAGAGGCCCAATCCCCCCTCCCTTCCCGCCTAATTTTGGGGGAATTCATTGTGATGAGCACGGTCATTTCTTCTGTGTCTGTATATACTTTATATATAATATGTATGTATTTAGAAATATATAAGTATGTTTATCAGCAGTTTTGGCCGTGTGTGGAATGTGTGAAAATATTATTATTATTATAATTCAAAAGGCAGCAACGCACTTGTGACTTTTGAGTTGCAGGTGTTCATGCGTGGCGTTAGGACTAACACGAGTGGGCCATCAGACAACCAATTTGGCTTCCGACAGAGACGCTCGACGCTGGACGCGGTCGAACGCGTCCGCTCTTTGTCGGAAGAGGTTGTCTGACAGGGGGGAGTGGCGTTAGCCGGCCATATCCTTGCGGATATGAACGCGAGTTAGACACCTAAGTCCAGGCGTCGGGGTGGTTTTTAGTGGAATCACTACATACTCTTGTCTCCTGAGTCCCCGAGGAGCAGGAGATCCAAAGGGATTTTCCACCCCGTCAACAAAAAAAAAGGACTAATCTAATTCGAGCAGAAGTTTACTGCGTGTTTCTCTTATGTAAACTTGTAAAGTGTTGTCACATTTTTATAAATGCTAAAATATTCCAAGATCCACGTAATAATGTAGTAGGTATGTAGTTAGAAGATAGTGTAGACGTACTGTTGATAGTGTTGGAGTCACGGTTGGTGCTGGCGGGGAGCAAGTTTGCGGGCAGCGCGCTGAGCGAGCGCGCGCGCCGCAGCGCTTCGAGCGCGCTCAGCGTGCCCGCGCCCGTCGCGCCCCCCGCTCCCACTAGCACAAGCGAGCGCGAGCCCTCCGCCGCGGACGACAACGCCTACACACACGCATCGATCACATTAACTAATACGTACGTTAAATTAATAGAATATTACAAAGGGTATATAAAAAGGGGACAAGGCTTTAGAAAATCGTTAATTTTATGGACCATTCCATGTTGACAGTATGCAATAAATACACAAAAATACTCACTTTATATCTTAAAGTATATACTAGAAAATAGGTGTCTCGAGACTTTAAATCACTGATTATTATTATGGCAACCATAAACATTCATTATAAGTCATAAAATAATAAATAAATATAACACAAACAAAAATTTATAAAGTGTGAATTAATACAATTTAGTTTCACAATGTAAATCGACAGCATATAACATCCTTACGTTTTTGAAGACATTGTTGAAATGCGCTTCATTTTTAATGACGAAAAGCGTGGCTGGTAGCGCAGCAGCTATGATGTATGCAGCCGCTAGACGACCAACGCCCGCGCATCCAACGCAAACCAATAGACCACCATTGATCTGTAATATTAAAATACGTATTTAAAATTATCTTAGGAAAAATGTTGTTAATTGAAGCATATTTATCTTTACACAGTATAAAATGAAGTCGCTTTTTATTCTTGTACGCTTAGATCATTCAAACTGGTAGTTTGAACGGATTTCAGTGAGGTTTTCACCAGTAGAGAGAGTGATTCAAGAGGCGAGTTATAGCGTATAGGCGTAAAATAGTAATACATGCATATTATAGTGGAGGAAATCCGAGAATTTCAAATATTTGTAATGGGAAGTCGTAAAAAACATGTTTTTGCAAACGCTTGTCATTGCAAACGCTGGCTAAACCTTACGAGATAGAAGATTGTACTACGGATTAGCATATCTTAAAAAAATCTACAAAAAAGTCTGCAATGGTATAAGTCTATCTCCTAAGGATAACCAACAGTAACCATTTTTATCACTTCATCATCATCATCATCATCATCGGCCTATCGCAGCCCACTGCTGGACATAGGCCTCTCCCATTGCACGCCAATTAAATCAATTTTGGTCTTCTCGCATCCAGCTCCTGCCAGCCATCTTACGCAAATCGTTACTCGACCTGGCCTCCTGTAGGCGTCCTACACTATGTTTGCCGAGACGCGGTCTCAACTCATCAACGCGTTTTCCCCAACGGTTGTCGGTTACACATTTATTACTTACATATTACAAAAAATAATGGGATATTTTCAAAGCTATTTTAAATAATAGTTTTATTCAGTATCTAATAAAATACGTTAGATACGTTATGAATTTAATGTAGATCAAATTGTCGTTTACAGCATATCATTAAAATTAATATCTATGTGACATCAGAGATTAAAAAATGTGGTGCCAAAGCGGCCGTCAGCCCGTACGTCCTGGGTGGCAGCGGCCGATAGGTTTAGATCGGGCCTATAAATATTGTATTTAGAGATGTCCTGTCTTATCATAATTATTAATTATATTAAAATTAATTAATCCACACTGACACCACTTTAGTAGTATAAGTAGTATCTACATTGCACCCGTGCGAAGCCGGGGGCGGATCGCTAGTACATTATATTTTGCACGCATTCATTAGGTTTTCCGATTTATTCTAGAGATGAAAAATAAATGATTTTGAAATAAAAACATTCAGTGACCTCACACATCACATCAATGACCTTTAAAATTGTTCACTGCTAGACATAGCCTCAGTATACCACGCTGCGCTCTGGCCAGACGTGTTAGTATGGGATTTGTATCAAGTTTTCCTTTTCTTTCCAGTGCTGTTGTCCTGCGTAGTTTGCTCCCTTAGTCGGCTCTTACGACACCCACGGGATGAATAGGGGTGGTGACACGTATTCTTAACCCGATTTTAACCATTTTTTTATTAATAGAAAGCGGCATTATCAGGAAGTAACATAGGCTATAATTTTTTTCTAAAAAACCTTAGACATGTGCCAAAAAAAAACAGGTTAAGTAAGGTGTAAAAAATAGTCTTAAAAATTTCCTTTTTTCGCGTACGATAAGACGGAATAATGTGCTAATGAATTGTAGGACTAAATAAGATCTACAAAAAAGTTCGCGAGGGGTATATCTATCTATAACAGATAAGCTATAAAAAGCGTTTTTATATTTTTAAAATTATTAAATATCCACTACATACTTTAGATGCATTTTTTCGTGTGATTATATGAATCCTGGAGGAGGGAGGATTCTTAATCCGTCACCACACGGACACTGACATTCTTTATTTTCCTCAGAATTTCAGTTTATTAATGTAAAATGTAATTTAAACCTATTTTTTTCTGTACAACAACAATCACATTTATAGCACAATGTCTGAAGAGAGATAAACCTACTAGAATTAGTATTGTAAGAGCCCGTCAGTTCACATGATTTAATACGAATCTAATTCAATTCCACCAGAGGGTGTTAACTAACTTCATGAGCAAATTACTTTATGAATCTCCTCGGTTCTCAATCCTCCTCAAATCGGTTCATTTATTTTCTTTTTGTTGAACTATTGATGTATTCCTCTTTGAAAAAGTTATTGTGAAACATTCATCCACAGTAAAAATTATTATAATATTTTACTTACCGCTCGCGCTATCGCCGGACATAACACGGATAACTCCGAACAAACCTCAGCTCCGCTTTCACCGAAAACATTCTGCTCGTGTTCTGACACTGAAATGTATTAAAAATTTTAAGAATGTTGATTGGATCTGGATCTGTACTTGTTCAGATATGTATATGAAATTAAATAATCGAACAACTTCGTGAAGTCAATATATTATTAAGCCTTTTCTGACCAAAAAAAGGCTCACGATTATGATAAATTCTCACTGACATCAAGTAAAATATTATTACATTTAGAATTATAAAAATAAATATTGTGACGCTTATCTTCATTTGGTGCATGATTGTATGTTCTTTTAATTTGATGCTTATTGTTATGTACCGTATTTATACATATAGCTATGGAACTTTAAGTCTTTTAGTACCATTTGTTTTCTTGTACAAAAATTGTGACTGTTTGTATACTAAATGACTAAAATAAATATTAAGTAAGGGCTTGAAAAGACTTAGAAAGACTTGAAAAGTTAAAATTCAATTTTCATAAATGAGAAATTCTTTACTCAGTTTCATCTCTATCTATATCACTTCCAACATCTAGGACAAACAATTGATAGAGTTCGGTTAGATATTCAGCCATCCGGCTTCGAGTTTAAAGAGCTGTTGGTTTTATCAATGATGTTATACTTAGTCAAACACTTCACACAGTTACTTCTGAATATTTAAATAAACTATGTTAACAAAACTTACGACATTGATTGATAAGTTTCTCCGTCCTTTGATACCAATCGTTATAATTGGTGTGTTCTAAATAAACACCGTCTCCTCTAAGTTTGTAGGCGAAATGCATAGTTTCACTGTTCACTTTCAAATGTTTTCTGCATATCGAGTCAAATAATGTTTTCTCTTCATCTGATACTAGCCTTTCCCTGAATATAAAGTTGGCTTCTGCACCGATCGCCTGTAATATATATATATATATTTTTCTCCCGCACTAGGAAGAAATCCTGTGTAGCACGGGACTTTACAACCATACGAGTACATGAAACGGACACAGATGACACACCATATTCAACAACAACATTTTCAAACCTGTTGCCGTCTAATATAATAGAACAATTTAGGTCTATATTTATAATCATACAAATATTTTATAATTTCATAATAATAATAGTACTAAATAGACACGAGAGAAGAAGAACTAATAGGATAAAGAGCTTAGGTTTCTATCACATTGAAATTATTAAGACGAGCAATGAGCATTGGCCATGATAGTAAAAGTGAGCAATGCCATACTTTATACGAATGCAGCAAGTTGACTGGCACTATTAAATTGTGAAGTCATTTATTATACCTACACAAAATATGCATTATGAGCTTATTACATAATATTAAAATGTAAGTTACCATAAGAAGTTGTTCCATGTTAGCAGGTGAGTACCATTTGACATTTTCACATAGCTTCTTCAAATGTGACGCGTTCCACTTGTAATGTGAGTGGGTGTCGAAAGTTTCTGTTGTCTGGTAACGTACAACAATAATATAAACAAAGGTACATGAATGTTATGACAGTAATAAGTTACAGTAATGTATGAATAGATTTGGCAATAGTTATCAAGTTATTGCAATTCCTTGTTTGAGATGTTTTAATGCAAAGGTGAATGCAGCAAAAATACTGAACAAATAGTTTCACTAATCTTAGATTTGCACTGTGAAAAGTTTTTGATTAGATACAAGTTTAAGTAACAGTAAAAATGACTGCAGTATAGTGGGCCCAAACCTCTTTTCTTAAAAGATGCCTATGTCCAGCACTATTCAAGGACTATTCAAGGCTGTTCATGTGATGTAAAGATGAGGTATAATCTATAATATGTACAAAGACCACCATGTTAAACACGTTTCTGTTAGAATGTTAAAATAAGTCAAAATGTATATTTTTGATGGTGTATATACTAGTTTTAAATCCGCCAACGTAAGGATCTCACCTTCACTGGGGGAAATATTAGACATTAGAAGAATGCTTATTTACAATTTATTAGATCATTATTTTTTTAGAGGGATGAAATGTTTTTGAGTGTCTCTCAACACGAGGTATACCTAAGTAGTGTTAGTTAGTTCTTGGCTAATTGAGGTTAGCCAGGTTTGGCTAGGGTAAAAGAAATATGATCTAAACACGAAATGGTACTTTTTATCTATGTGATATTGGATACATACCTCTTTATACATTGCTAACAGTTTATCAGCCAGGTTAGGTAAATCATTTGAAGAAATAGTCTTGCCGATGCTGGACTTAAGATAGTTCGTTGATATTTCAGACAATTCCTCGTCGTCTGGTTCCCTTTAAAATTAGAAGGCGTTTAACAATTTATGCAAAAAATCAAATGAAAAAAATTGAAACCAATAGAGTTTAAAGGATTTTAGAATGCAAACTTATATTAATAACGAAACATTTCTTTTGTTATACTAGTCGTTATCCGTAGTTAGCGAGGATTGTACAATCATGTTACAATAGCTGTAATATTCAAGAATGAAGTTATTTAACGCAAAATCATTTTTTGATGTGTAAAGTTTTTTCTACAGAGTTCTTTTGAGTTGTAAATTGCTGCAACTGCTCTGTTCTGCAAACCTAAATACTTCTTACTAACTACTTACTTTCTTTACTTCCTCATAAATTATAAAAGTCTTAATTTCGTTTTTTTTTTACACCAAACCCACTAAAGCACTAAATATGACATTCTTTTTTAAAAGACAACTCCCGCATTAGGAATAGATCCTGTGTCTTTACAAACATACAAGAAACGGACACAAAGAACACTCAGACTCAGAACAACCATTTGTGGACCACGCAAAGTGTCGTCCCATGTGGGGATCGGACTCACAACACTCAGCGTAGTAGTGATCGGCGTGGCGACAGCTTAAACCACTATACGCCATCCGTGCAGTCAAACATTGTTTTAGACAAAGAGCGATAAAAACATTTTAGTTTTACCACGTTAAAAATGATTTATTGTTACACAATTTTATATAATTTCTCAGCATACGTGTACCTTATGATGACGGGTATGAGTGCAGTAGCGAGTCGCTGGTCGAGCGCGGCGAGGCGCGTGGCGGTGGCGAGCACGCGCACGGGCGCCAGCCGCCACCACTCGATAGCACCGCCTTCCTCCTCGCTGCCTCGCGACCAGAACCCCGCGTGTTGAATCAACTATACACACATTCGACAACCTTCTGATTTTTCCAGCAAATAAATCTATAATATATATAAAAATGTTAAGTCGGTTCTGCACCGATTTAGTTCAAATTAATTTTGACACGATATACAACCCGCTTCAAAGATTGTTTTTATCTATTTTCTGCATCAGTTCTGTTCCTCATCAATGCAACTTTTTCCCAGCGAAACAGTTAGTATACAGGCAGGGTACAGTTAGTATATTATAGAGTAGCGATTCTGACAATTAGGCCATGGATATTGAATCTATGGTATTTAATTTTTGTAAGACTTTTGCAACCGAAGGTATCATGATAAAAGTCGACTAGAAAGCGATAAATATTTGACTTAGTTGTCCTGCAGAAAGTTGTGGAAGTGACCTGCAGTAAGAAGGAGTGAACGGGAGTGGAGTGCCAGGAGTCAGCGCGCGCGCGGTGCAGAGCGCGCACCAGCAGCGTGCCACCCGCGCCGCGGCTCGCGCTGCGACTGCCGCTAGACGCCAAGTTGTTCTGGAAACGGCACAACACACATGCATCGATATACTGTATAGCCGTTATGACCATGGTCCTCTGTTAAAAATACGCATGTTCCATGAAAACTAATATTATCTTCATTCGAACTCCCCCGCTGTCTCGTCGACTAATCGTATAAAATAACGTAATTTTTACAAACGAAATTTAAGGAAAGTTAAAGTACCTACAGCGAGAGAAAAGATGTTGCACATCAAAAGAAACAGGTAGCCTACCCTTTTCAATTCAGCAATAATATGAGCTGGCTCCAATATTGGCGTACAATCGATGGTTATTAATGTTGAGTTGCACTCCCTTGCCAAATACTCTGCCAAAATACTGTAACAAATGAAACGCTTTATTAAGTATTCTTCACTTGCGGTGCTAACTTTGTTGAATTTTTTTATGCCTTAACCAATAGAAGTTAAGTTACCCATGCTTTCGTAATTGTTTTTCATTATGGTACTTTTCAAATGAGTACTAGGATTAGAACATATATGACAGGCCTGTTGGTCTAATGGTTAGAAACCCTGACTGCTAAGCCAAAAATCGTGGGTTCGATTTCCACCCTGGACAAATAATTGTGTGATAAACACGATATATTTTTTTGCGTATGGGTGTAATTTATCTATAACTAGCTGACCCGCGCAACTTCGTCTGCGTCTCTCAATAGTAATAAATATTCTCCGTTTTTGAAACATTCTTCATTGGTGCTCCGCTCCTATTGGTCTTAGCGTGATGATATATAGCCTATAGCCTTCCTCGATAAATGGGCTATCTAACACTGAAATAATTTTTTAAATCGGACCAGTAGTTCCTGAGATTAGCGCGTTCAAACAAACAAACAAACAAACAAACAAACAAACTCTTCAGTTTTATAATATTAGTATAGATAATGTGTATGTATTTAGAAATATTCAAGCATGTTGATCAGCAATCAAACATAGTACAGTTCCTGCCTAGTTTGAGATCAGACGGCCGTGTGTGAGATGTGTGAAATTATTCATTGGATGTGTCATATTAAATACTGGAAGTGAGTGTCGTACTTTTTAGCGCTGGCATCAGGACCCACGATAAGCAGATGCGCAGTATTTGACATAAGACAAGCGCGCACCACGGGCTCTATCGCGCTTAAACGTCTTGACATTAATAAATTGTCTGAGACCCATTCCATTAAGGGTACAGCTGTAGTAACCGGTGGGCCGAGAATTGATGACATCTAAAATAGAAAAGTGAACATAAATATCAAACAAAACCTAAGATTTTATATGAGATCATACGAAATAGGGTAGAGTTCAAGACAGTGACCTGTCAAACAAAGTCGTTTATCAGGTATTAGTACAAGACTCGGTGAAAATATACTGTATAACTGAAATACTTATCATTTTACAGCAGCACCGAAAATGCACTTTCATTTCGTACAGAAGTTCGTTTTTCAAATCCATACTAATATTATAAATGCGAAAGTGTGGCTGACTGTATGTTACCTCTTCACGCTTTAGGTGAACGTTGGTATAGAGAAAGTTCGAGACCCGGGAAAGGACATAGGAAAGTTCTTATCCCAGAAATTGTACTTTAAGGGGGTGAAAGGAATGGGGGGGGGGGAGGGTTTGTATGGGGAATCCATAATTTGATTTGAATTTAATAATTTGATCAACAGCAGAAGTTGCTTAGATTGGTGCACAACTGGGCATGCATCATTATACTGTGCAGTGAGCACTGAGCAGCACCTACCTCTTCCTGGAAACTGCTGACGCCTTTATCTTTTAATATATCGACAACGCTTCGTTCTATCGCAAGGCACACCATTTCTTCTGCCGTGAATCGAGTGGTGTCTTGAGCTATGTATTCGAATTGTGTTAAAATTTTGTTTACCTGTAAATCGTAAAAAAATAAATAACATAAAATTTTGAATAAGAAATATATAAAGTAATTACAATACTATTATCTTTCAAAATAATTTAAATTAAGACTATTTTATGCTAATTTTGGTGTATTTTTATGAATAATATTAAGAGGCCAATTGATTTTTAATCGACTTAAAAGGAGGTTCTATGTTCCACTATATGTGTATTTTTTATACACCGTGAAATTGTAGTTGCCGTCGATATTAACACAAAATAATCTTTAGTAAAATTTATGAAAAACCCGCATTTTAGTTTAGTATCACATGGTACAAAAATATTGAGTAATTAGCATCACAAAGTTGTCTCCAGAACTCGCAATTTGCAGACACACTGCAATCGGTAGGCGTACACTGCAATCTATACGCATCGGCCTACGAATGAATTTGGATAAAACCAAGGTCATTTTCAACGAACATGTAATACCGCAACCGATTGCGGTACACGGTGCCGTTCTCGAAGTTGTTCAAAATTATGTGTACCTCGGGCAGACATTGCAGTTGGGTAGAAACAACTTTGAGGACGAGGTGAACAGAAGAATTCAGTTGGGTTGGGCAGCGTTTGGGAAGCTACGTCGAGTCTTCTCATCGTCGATCTCAGTGTCTTATGACGAAAGTCTTCAATGAGTTCACAAGTTCAAAGTCGCTCAACGTGCTATGGAAAGGGCTATGCTCGGCGTTTCTCTGAGGGATCGCATCAGGGATGAGGTGATCCGGCAGAGAACCAAGGTCACCGACAAAGCCTACAGGATCAGCAAGCTGAAGTGGCAGTGGGCTGGCCATATTAGCCGCAGAACCGACAACCGTTGGGGAAAACGAATTCTTGAGTGGAGACCGCGTCTCGGCAAACGTAGTGTAGGACGCCAACAGGCCAGGTGGAGTGACGATTTGCGCAAGATGGCTGGCAGGAGCTGGATGCGAGAAGCCCAAAATCGATCTAAGTTGCGTGCAATGGGAGAGGCCTATGTTCAGCAGTGAACTGCGATAGGCTAATGAAGATGAATCGGTAGGCGCGCAAGTGTCAATGACCTCTCCATCGGTATCGTATACTTCGCTACATTTCATTGAAAAATAAAGTACCTAACATAACATCCAAATATTAAAACTTGACTTAATTAAGGGGTACATTTGAATTAAGTGAAATATGCATAAATCTTAAGTGATATGTACAATAATTAATAAAAAAAAGCAATTAGAGGTTAACTTACCACTATTGTTTTACATGTGTTTAAATAAATGTTCAAAAGGTAGTCTTCTAGATATCTAGATTCAAAAGGTAGTCTAGATCTTTTCTAACGACGTGTGGGCTGTGATATGGCCACCTACGTTCGTTACGTTAGTTGTACAAACCCACACGAGTAAACAAGGCCTCGTCTGTCCACATAATATTGGCACCGAGGTGTGCGATAAGCCACTCGCAGAATTGTCGACGAGGTAAAGCGTCTATTTCTTGTAACTTTTGGACTTTTATATAACGGTAAGGGTGCAAGCCAGCGGTGGTTATCAGCTTTCATACTGCGTATTGGCTTACATGGAAGCTGCAAGTCTTGACCTTGCAGTACCCCTTGCGTGTGACGGGATTTGCAGATGAAATCGTTTGGCGGTTAGGCACCGATGGATTTAGTATACCTTTTATTCCGGGTCGTGGTATATTTTCCGACTCGTACAAGCGCTGTGACCATTTAGTAATACTCGCGATTAGAAAACATTGTTTGCACTGTTGACGTCACGGAAGAACGAGCGGTAAACACAAAAGATGCACAGACGCGGCCGACAGGCCTTTTAATTATTTAATTTGTACCTGCCCGCAGCCGGGTTTCGCACACGCCTGACCCGGCCACATGCCCGATGCATTCTTTCTCTCACTATTTACGTAACTAGCGTAAGACTATTTTTTACGTTTGAATTAGTGACCACGCTGCTAAATATTTTCTTCGGGATGAAATATTTTATGTTAAAAATTTGACCTACCACTTTTTTCTGGCAAATATGGGGTCCTTAAATATGGGGGCCTAGCGGGAATATTAGTAATTTCGGTTGCTGGTAAGCCTTTTTAGAAAAATAATAATAATATATATTACATAAAGTGTTGCTAACAGGGGATTCCGATTTAGTACTAACCACGTTAATATTGTATATCTTCGTCGTAAGTTCGGGTCTGTGTTCAGAGAGCCAATGGAGACATTTTTTCACAGCTTGCTGTAATAGAGGCATCGCCATTTTTGCATCTTCGTTCTCGAAGTCAGCCCTTTGCATCCAATTTGATAGAACATCTAGGTCACAGCTGACGTCATCACTGTAAATTGTCTTTTATTAAAAATTTATTAAAATTATTATTATTGTTGTTTAAAAAGACTAGACTGCAGAATATACAATCGTTTTAGAGGACACTATTTAATACCGATATGTGGAGCAATTCTAATTAATCTTGCTTTCGATTTATTTTCATAGAAATAAGAATTATAATATTTTAGTTTCAATTTTGATACAACACTTATTCTAATCTAATACAAAAAATAATTATTGTAGAATTTGAGTATTTGATATTTGGGAAAAATAATAATATTTGAGAATTTGATAGAAAATGCGTTCTGGAAACGATTTGCATAAGAACTGACAAGTAGGTATAGGTACTAAAAGATCAATTCCTGTTTTTTTGTTTGTTAAAGTTACTGATGTTGCTTAAGAGTCGACTGGCCTACACTACCATTGATGAGGTACCCCCTTACCTGAGTAGTATAATTCCCATCCGTGATACCGTGGCAGGCGAAGCGTGTTCCAAGCTATGAGTTTCGAACAGAAAATTGACGTTAGTACCGAACTGTATGCGCCAGCCAGACGGTAAGGTGAGTAAACGGTTATCGTCCAACACAGAGTTTAGTGCTTCTATCCATTCGGGGTCGATGTCACCATCGCACACCACCCATGACCAAACATCTGCATAGAGATAAATTATATTACATTTCTATAATCACACAATACACGAGAAAGTCTTGCGCGAATTATGTTAAATATTTTTATTTTATTTTAGACTGGCCTGTTGGTGGTTTCCAATATATCGATGAACTTAGTATTTGATGTCAGTCAGTTTTAATTAAATAATCAACACGTTCTGGACAAACAGACAAACATACACAACGATGAGAGACAAAAAAATACAGAATTATAACACATTCTATTATTATCGTGTCTGCTGAACTTTCCGTCGCAAAACAATTGTTTGAATTAATAATTATGTTTATCTTACGGTTTTTTATTATTCTATGAGACGATGTATTATAATTAAAGTATTATAGATAGATTATAGATAGATAGTGAAAATTTGTTTGGTTCATTGCTGTACTTACCGGATGGTTGATTAGATATTTCGAGCGCCGTGGAAGATATCACGCCATCGGTCCATTGCCGAGTATCGTGGTCGATGTTGCCGAGCAGCCAGTCGCGACTCATCGCCTTCGGGCATATTATATACTCCACCACGTTCTTGCCTTGGTGGGCTAAAGCCTTTACATAAAAACACTTATAATTAATATAAAACAGGTACTTCCAAGCAACAACCGATGTTATTTATTTCAAACTAGGGAAATAAGATCTTTGTGACGTAAACTCGCCAAGAAGTCTGTATAAGCAAGAATTCTTTATGTTTATTGCCTTGCACCCTATTCTATGAGGGGCACCAAAATATGCTTTTATTATATAGCATATTATATCATGTATCACAATAGATATCATGTATTAAAATGTAGGTATTAGGGAACAGGTGTAATTTTTACGTACGGATTTCAGTAAGCGCCTAATGGTGGTCTTTCCTGATCCTGGTGGTCCAACGATTACCACTCCCATACGTTGTTGAAGTTGTTCATATAACTCCATACATTTTTGTATCTGCCACACAATAAAGACTGTTTTAACGTGCTGTATTATATAATCAAATACAACTGCTGAATAGGATCATAATTAATTTTGGGGATGAAACATTTGGTAAAACCGGAGTTCTAGAACACCAAGAGACAGACAGAAAACCATTTAGCTTTTTGTCGAGTAAGTGAGGTTATCGAAGGTCCAACCTTTCCGGTGACATCGTGTACCGTCTATACCTTAAAAATTGAGCCGTCGCGGGGCCGTCTGGCACATGTGATACATGTAAATTATTCTGTTGAATTAATGAGCATAAAATCACTTTAATAATCAACGAAACGACGACGCGTCGCTATAACATAGCGTGGCGATGCGTCGCCACGTCTACTGCTGGTCTGACCCTTCGCAGTAGATGTTTTACATCAAGAAGTTGCATTTTAACTACTAATATCACTTTCTAGCTCTAAATGAGAATAAAATAGTAAGTGTTGCAAAAAATAATGTAATTCAATATAACTACATGGCTACAAGTACAGAATAGTTTAAGTGTCAAGTTAACTATAATTTGTTCGGCAATGAGTCTTACCTGTAATTTGTTCTGTACAAGCTTGAGACTGTCCACGATAGCTTCAAGAGAAGCATTGATCGAGTCTGAACTTGATTCCTCTACTGGCACGTCGTTAAACACTAGCGATAATATATTTTCGAACCTGTGAATTACATGTTTTATGTATGTATAATATACATTTTAACTACTGCTTTAAAGGTTACTTGTTCCAAACCCATCATAGGATTAAACTGTAAATATTTTCAATTCAATTAAGCAATAGTCCGGTTTTGCCATACCTAGTTTTGACCATGTTAAAATGATTCATTTTGTCTGAAAGCCAATATACAGTATTACCTGAGTGCGTCATGGCGTGTAAGCTTGGACATATTGTTGAGCGTGAGCACGTGCCTGGCTGCGGAGCGGCGCCGGCGCAAGTCAAAGGCGGCGGCGGCGCGCGGCTCGAGCGCGCTCGCGCAGCTGCCCACTGCGGCCTTCAAGGCGCGCAGGCCCCAGTCGTAGTGGCGCTGCGAGCTCAGCAGCGAGCTGGGCACAACGATCAGTAACAAGAGATCTCACTTGTTTAACGGCATACAAATCTAAGTATATTTGTTACTGTTCTTAAGTTTCATATTTTTTTTAATGTATAACCAAATATTAAACGTAGATGTTCTGGAAATGCTTAGACATGACGTCACTAATCATTATCACACATTTTTTTTCTACCGAACGTAATGTTTTAAGCTTTAATAAAGAGGAACTGAGTTGACAATCTAATACTGTTTTTTCAATAATTAATTATAAAGAACAATGACGAATTCGTAGTTGAAAATGTCATTCATAGAAAACTAATTCTAGTAATAATAATAAAGATCTACGTTTTTTGAAACTATCGTCTAAGTCAGTAAAACCCCAGGAAAAGAAATATTATAAGCTTATTTGATTATTTTAATTTTCTTTATCAGTTTAAAAAATAAGTTTAAAACAATACAAAACACTATCCACAGATAAAAAAATGCAGTGCGTAACTAAAAAGCTTAAATGCTAAATATCTATTTTCCTAGCCTTTCCCAAACAAAAATTGTTTTACACATGGTTCTAAAAAAATAGTCAATTTTTTTTAATATTTTTTTTTACTACAAGACGATGCAATTTAATTCGAAATTTTTATTGTATGGTGACCCACCATTGTTCTTTTAATTAATCAAAATCAAAAAATAATATCATAAATAAAAACCAAAGTCTACTTCAATAAAAGAAATATCACATAAAAAAAATATCTCATTTCTAGCTTTTTGTAACTATTACGAATTTAAATCAAATAAACATTGATATATGTTCTTCAATTGAGTAGTCTAAAATAGTGATGTCATAAGTTGCTATTTAGTACCTTTTTCATACAAAATTGTCGTTTCAACAGATGATAAAAGTTCCTAATCTGACTAAAGCGTCAGCTACCCTATTGTGAAGCCATGATAACCTCTACCGGTTCGGCTAGTATTTTTAAATTTGTAAAAAAAACAGACATATTGTATGTCTGTATTTGGTATACATTTGGTGTATATTTCTATTTATTATATTTTTTAAACTCCACTGTCCAAACTTTTAACCCAACCCATTTTCCTCCATACCTATATGATGTGACACCACTAATTATGTATACCTCGCAAGTGTGAAAACATTATTCAGGTCCGTAGCCAATATTTGTGAATCAGGAACACAGTTGGCTGCTAGTAAATGAGCAGCCACTTCAGTATGTGGTGGCTGCAGCATCGCGATGGGCCGCAGGAGGCGCTGCAGCGCGGCCGGCAGCTCGCGCCGCCCGCCGTACCCGCGCCCTGCAGGGTTCAGCGTAGCTGCTACTCCACACCACTCGGATACTGTGATCTGTGAACACAAACAGATCGGATTGATTGATTTGTATTTTTGTTCAGGACAAAACTCGCCGCGATGGTAGTAACTATTTAAAATAAATAGATATAAGGGCGATATTAGTGAAATATAAAAAATATTATAAAGCCTAAATCACAAGATCCTAATAAGTAATAATAATATTATTTAGCTACATGTTTTTTAAATTGCTTTTGAATTGTGATTTTATTTAAGTGCAGCTTAAGAAAATAAGATTTAAATTAAATCAAATTCATTATTTTAGTACACTGTACAATTTATATATTATACTTTGTACAAAAACTACCACAAAACAAAATGTTTGTGTCATGTAGGAATCGCACCAATATTCAGCGCAGTCTGGTGACAATGCGATCAACAATCAGTTCAACAATTGCGCCATCTGTGCATTGAGGGCGTGAGATAACTTTGATGTCAGCGGTGTGAACCCGAATTTCCTCATTGGAGCTTTTATGAGAAGAATCAAGTCATGCTTATCATAAAGACTCATTTTCATCAGAACTGAACTAACATATAAAATTCCAACTCCGTAGGGTGCATGATAGGCTTTAGTTCTAATTTAGCTTTCAAAAATTACCAAACTAACAAACTTACAAACGGTTATAGCAACAGTTAATGAAAAATCGAATCAAATTGACTTCGCCCAATGAATAAAAAAAAAAGTTAACGATAATAACTTTAGTATCAACAATATTTAAGAATTGACATAGAAACTGTTCAGTGAAAACATTATAATAAAAACAAATTAATACTTATAAACAATAATCATTTAAGATGGAGAAGACATAAAACAAACCAAAAAGAGACTCTCCGGCGGGGAATCGAACCCCGGTCTCCCGCGTGACAGGCGGGGATACTGACCACTATACTACCGAAGACACATTGAAGATTTTTCAAATTAGTGTTATCTTCACAAACTGTGATTGAATGGTTTCATAAAGTTGTTTCATTTGCAATCTTATGTACTGTACTGTCTCATATTGTTGTAACAAACTCTTGTCAGATTAGTAGCATAACATGCCTGGCTGCCTACTTAATGTATAATTATCAAATTCAGTTTGATATGGTTTACTATGTTTGTGACATACATGTTTAAATGACACCGATATCGTATCTCCATAGATAGGTATGTATAGGTTGAAACTTACATTGAACAACTAACTTACTATAGGGCAGGTTTAAAAAAAAATAAACACACTTTTTTATCTCTACATTCGGTTGTTGTAATCAGACAAGAAATTTGCAATGGTAAAATGATTATAATAATAATAAATTTCTCTCATCACAAAAAACTTATAAATACAGATCAGTCAGATTGGGTACATCATTGCTTTGTGAGAGACATTGACTGAAAATGACTGAAAATTAAATTACAAGACGTAAATAACAAGGTAATTTAATGAAAAGTACCCCTTACATGTTTTCCATTGAGAACTGCAGTAGGCTCTGTGCCAGGGGTTCGGTCGGCAATGGCCGCAAGTAGTGAGGCGAACTGATGCGAGACAACCGACAGAGTATGCGCTGTTAGACGATTAAATTCATCAAAGCAACCCCAAGCACCACAAAGTGCTATACCGCTTAATAAGCGTCCCATACATTCGGAGTCCATTGCCTGAAATTGGATAGTGTTGTTTTTGGTTAACGTCAAGCAATTTGCGTAACTTTTAATACAATAGGATTTAAAAAGTTTAACAATGTAACTAAGGATGCTCACGTTTTGCATTCTCTTCCAATCGCAGACAATAATATTTATTTTAAATTTTTGTACCTAAGGTCCTTTAGTATACAGATATGTGTAGATACGTGCACTGCAGAATATAATAATATATGCTGTTATGATATATTTCGTCTAGCACAGTAAACAATAATCGTATTTGTTCCAAAATGAATCTAAATGCTTAGAGCACTAAGTTCAAGTTACTTTAGTTCAATATGACAAAATAAAATACAATTCTGTTTTCTTATTACTCTTTAGGATAGACGAAGACATTTGATTACAAACAAAAATTTGAAACACAATCTTAGAAATATTTAACTTTCAATATTTTAATTCAATCTTCAAATTCAAAATTTATTTTAATCAAGTGATCTTATGCCAATATGGACAGACAGGCTCATATTTGTATTTATTTTTTCATACAATGACGTATTATAAGTCATTGTTGACTTAGTGTTTACTTAACAACTATAGGTTTTGGGTACAATACAAAAAAAAAGTAAAGAATATGGGGAGCTAGCATTATTTTGCATACTAATTGCTCAGCTTACAAGAGAAAAAAACCCTTTGTTTTGTAATCTGGGACTAATGGTTTTTATTTTGTAATCATAAGGATTTTACAACATTTTAGGGCTATAAATTTTATGGCGATAGTATGTCATCTCAAGCGTATGGTGTGTATTTAAAATGTGCCACCAACAAATAATGCTAGGTCCATAACGTACTTACCGTACATATGTAATGGCCGTTACATCATTACAAACCCGACGGTCTTTATAAAAATATAAAGTTATCTCACAAAACACCGACCGGGACTCTTACATATGTCTTACAAAGATAGCGTCGTTTAAATGAACACTTTGCTAGGGACAATTCTTCGAAAGAAACAAAGGAACAACAGGCCCTCTATTATGTTCGTGTAAATGCTCCTTCCGAGGACAACACGTTTAACATTTTATTGTTCTCTACTTTCGTAAAACAATAATTCGCTTTCTACTATCGTAAAACAATAATTTTCAATATTCTCTTGTTCTCTACGATCATTTTCTGCTGTATCTATTTATCAGTGGCTAATTCAAACAAGTCATTAAAAAGTCGTCTTCTATATGAAAATAACACAAAAGGGAAGACAGTATCATTAGTTGCTCAGTGTATTCTGTTTTAATATATATTTAATATATAAATATATATATATTTAATAGAGCAGTGAATAAGGTACCTCATCACAGTTGAAGATTAGAACTAGTCGACCCACTAATCCTCCGAGTGCTTTTACAGATTCCGTTTTGCCAGTTCCTGCCGGTCCAAATGGATTGCCCACGAAACCGAGATGAAGAGCCTGAAAAGTGATATTATACTTTGTGATTATAACGATTGTCAATTTTCCTTAGATTTGTAAGAACAAAATTAAATGATAGAAACTGTTTAGGGAAAGACGCAAGTTTAGATTTGTTAGGGAGTATTATAATATATATGTATGTATATAGATATATTTTATGTATATATATAAGCAAACTAGCCATAATTTATTAGTGTCTTGTTTATTCCAACCAAACACTACTTGAGGTATTTTGCTGCTGTCCGTACTCCACTATCGGATCAGTTCGGCTACTTTTTAAAAAATGTGAATCGATTTTAGTTATTGGATATTTTTTAAGTATGCTACGAGCATATGTATGTACCTCCAGGTTAATGTTAAAACTAAAATAATATTAATCAAGTAAAAGAGCTCTTTTTTGAGGCTGTTACTTTCCTGAAACAATTGTTTGCAAAGTTAGCTAGTATCAAACAGCGTTGCACACTACTTTACAATGCTTACTCATGTAAGATTGCAAAGTAAAGATGATACTTCGCTCTTTATTCCAGGGCTATTGTATTACGCGGTTTCTATTTTCAGTAGGGGAATAACCGTTGCACAACATTTTGCACAACTTACTCTATGTAAGACATTCGAGAGATAACATTATTATTAGACTACATTGTCATATCATTGCACATAACATTGAATAAGACCCGTAGTAAAAATATACAACTATAATGATTCTTCTTCTCTAGACATCTATACATACAAATTAATGTACATACATGTACAATGTACATACTACATACAAATAAGTAAAATTTAAGGGTCTGTAATGTCAAAATAATAGGTTTGTTTTATGCTCACACGGTTTTTTGCACGATACCTATGCCTAAAAACCAGTTTAAATATTTTTTGTTCGTCTGTCTGTCTGTTTGTTCCGGGTAACCTTCAAAACAGCTCGACCGATTTTGATAATATTTTACTACCAGGTATGTTGTAGCTGCCTATATGAGGTGAAAAAGTCTAAGTTATATGCCTATAACTTAGACTTTTTTTCTCTCAGAACAGCCCTATAAAATTTTTCCCGGTCCGGGAATTGAACCCATCAAGGCAACGCTTTTCAAATTCCGCGCGAACGAAGTTGCGGGCACAAGCTTGACCATAAAAATTCTGAATTGTTTAGCCAAATTTTAGGCTAAGGGCAAATTTTCAAAATTCACTGCTTTAGTTTTACTTTAATGTACATTTGTGTCTATGTATATTTTAGAATTTGTATAGTAGGTATTATGTATTAAAAGTATACATACGTATGTGTAGTAGATACCTGTGTTAAAATGAAGAAGCAATCGTCAGCTAGTTCGGTGCGCACAAACTGTCCCGTGTTGATCCCCAGGTACTCGTACGAATATGATATTTGAGCTAGCCCCATTTTAGCGACCACTTCTTTGTTGCTGAGTAAATAAAATCTGTAAACAATTACGATGCAACTTTGTGTTAGTTGTCTACAATAGTATAGCAAAGTCTGAACGTGAGCATTTCAGCAATGCTGTGTGTGTAATCTCCAGAGTTACGTAGTGAGTCTCCTACTGATACGATGTTGACAGACCCATCTCTAGCCTATTGTAGACTATTTTGTTGGAATAGATAAGGAAAGTATTGTAGTCAATCATTACCGCAGGATATTTCGAAAAAAAAAGACCAATAAAAAAATAAATAAATAATGATAGGTACGTAGTAGGTAAAACTACTTCATATAAGTGGCGAGAGGTAGCAACCTACGGAAAACTACGAAGACTACGAAGAATGGGCAGGCCATTTAAATTTGATCGTGATCCTTCGCCGTGATCGAATAGAATCAGGCGAGTTACCCGATTCAGTTTTTTATCAAATATTTGCTATACCCTGCCACACTTCGCTGTGGTACATTGTGGTAGCAAAAACTAGATAAAAACCATCTTTAAAGCTTGTTGTATATCGTTTTAACTTTTGAGTTTTGAAGCCTACTAAAAATGTTAACTTGTTATGTGTAGGCTTCAAAAACTCAAAAGTTCTGTACTGATTGAGTTCAAACTTTGACTTATACTCAACAAACCTACACAAAACATTTTTATATTAAAAATGTTAAGTTGTTTTGTGTAGGTTTGTTAAGTATATACTTATATAAATTACAGGTGGCGCATACTGAAAGTTTTTGGATTTGGCCACTTACAATAAAAGAATGAAAAGCATTGGTAAAAAATTGGTTGCTTCTTTTTTCGGCAAAACAGGACATTACACTACAGTATCGCTTGAAGATCAAAGGACAGTGACTGCTGATTGGTACGTCAACACTTGCTTACCCAGAGTTTTAGTAAAAGTCCGCCTTCACAACCATAACGCGCCCTTTCATTCCGCTAAGGTAACAGAAGCCTATTTGAAGGCTTCACATGTGACACTGATGACACATCCCCCTTACAGCCTGGACTTTGCACCCTGCGATTTCTTTTTGTTTCCAAAAATTGAGTAAAAATCGAGGGAATATACTTAGAAAAACAATAAATGTATAGTAAGTCTTATATCTATTTTTACTTATCAGAATCTAGAAACTTTCAGTATGCCCTAAGTATATGTATAGATCATGACGACTCAATTGCCACAAAATCAAAAGCGCTTTTGATGGTTTTGTCGGACTCGAACCGACCAAAAACCGCACGCCGTCTCGGGTACAAGTTGTCGGGGAACCAGGTGTACCCTAGAAAGGAGATCCCTGGTACTTCTACATTGTACCTGTGCGAAGCCGGGGCGGAACGCTAGTAATTATACCGCTCCATTCCTGCCGGCCCTTGCCACCCGGGACGGACGTACGGCGCGACGGCATTTTAAATCTCTAATATCTTCTAAAATATTCATTTTAATTACATGCTGTCAGAGCAATTTTGATCTACATTAAATGCACAACATATGTAACGTATTTAATTGGATAAGGAATAATAATGTATTCTTTAAAATGACTTCGTAAATAATAATAATATTCTACCAGATTCACACAACGTCATCCAGTCCTAAACTAAGCAGAGCTTATACTATGAGTACTAGGCAACCGATATATTTATATCGGTAATAACATATATACTTGCTTTTTTGTAAATACATCCATATTATAAATATAAACACCCAGACTAAATCAAACAATAAATGTTCATGCAGACAAATGTTTGTCTTGAGCGGGAACCGAGCCCGCGACCTCTGGAATAGTAGTTAGATACACAAACCACTACGCCATCCGGTCGTCAAGTGTGCAAATGTTTATCGGTAATAATATATCGATTTATCGATTGTTGATGTGGTAGTGATTAGGGGCCCCTATGGTGCGAGGGGCCCTGGGCACATTGAGAAAGAGGGGCCTGGATGTTGCTTATAACTCTTTCACTAATACAAAGCAACACTGTACGTGGTATAGCAGGCCAAAACCTCCTTTCTAAGTAAAGGCCTATGTCCTGCAGTGGACTATTAAAGGCTGTTGATGATGATGACTGTACGTGAGTGATGTAATGTGAGTGTTGGTTGTTTTATTAAAGTTTAAACATAAAAAAATATACGAGTAAATTGATATTTTTGTTTCAATAGTATGAACTGTACCTGTGCCTACTCATCTAAGTGCCTTTTTTACATTTCAATTCACTCAGGTATACAGTTTTAAAAGTCTTTCCTGTACGCTCCACTTGAACTATATATTGTGTTATTGAAAAAATACTAATAAAATTATGAAATAACTAGTAATAACAAGGTACTAATGTAAAGAACAACTCTCCTGCCAAGAAACGAACTAAAATGGTGACACACAGCGGCCACATTACTTAAAAAAATTATACCCAGTATAACATTACAATAATAGTAGTTCAATACACATATCAACATGAGACCAGTCATAGTTATTTTTTTTTTACCTTAATTGTTTTTGCCACAGCCAGTCGCCAGTGGACACGATGTTATTGTCTATCAAAATCTTGATGACCGACAAATAATGAGCGCATTGCAATATGAGCGCCTGCCGTTTCCGTCGTTCACCTTCATCGTCTATTTCAGCTGAGGCATAGTACGACTTCTCCTTTTCAACATTAGCCTTTAACTTATGAAGTTCTTTAGACGTTATAGCCTTGTCAGCTTGCTCTGTAAAGCGTATGTTTTGTGCTAGGCAGAGAATTTGCGTGGGCAACGAAAATGGATCCTGCTCTTGCAGCGAATTTGTTACTATGCATTTTAGCGTCATGTTTTTAAGTGACGAACGCATCTCAATTTCTAGATTCTTGAGCCATACCTAAAACCAAGAGATGAATATGCAGTACAACGTATGCAGAGACAGGTTTTATCACAATTAATCTATCAATTTTGACATTGCCATACATTTTTAAGTGCCATTCGAACAGTCCACAGTTATCGTGTTTAAGGGTTATCAGTAATTGATTACCAGTTTTAAAACTATAGTTAAAAACACGAAAAAAATTACAGATCTAATACAAACAAAGTTACGTTCACTTCTATGTTAGTAGACACTTGTTCAATGTGTCTTGGTTGTTTGAACATTCCAATTTTGCTTATATTTCGTTTGTTTAGACTGATTTAGACAAATAATTCTTAAAATCTTTAATGATTCGATACTGTATAATAGATTTTATAATAGGTAATTTTATAATAATAGAAAGTGATCACTTTTTATAATACTATGTAAACATTTCCAGTAATTAAAAAGTAAATATCATCTTAAATTAAAAACGATATCAATACTTTCCAATAAATAATACATTTTTTTTATTACAAACCTATACGTGACCATAAATCTTAGCAAGTAAATTACAACGTAGCTACCTCAACAGGGCAATCGATGTCGACAGGATGCTCCAATTGTAATGTTTCTTCGAAATGACTACAAAGTGCCGTAATAGACATATCGCCCGGTCCAAGGCGCGCTCCTATAATTCCTGGGAATAGTTTCTTGAGATGACTTTGTATAACCGCATCCCTGCCATCAGCACCACCTCGTGCTTGGCCCAGTAATTCTAGCAAATCGTCGTCACTGAGGAAGTAGAGCCTGGGAAATATTGATCTTTTCTCCTGCAAATATAGTAACATGATTGATTAAAAAAAAATACAAAGAAAAGTTTCGTTTTCGTCGCGTTATTTTGTTATTTTCTACAAAGGTATCATTCGTTTTAAATTAAAATATTGTTTTCTTCATCTTGCTTATATTTAACAGATAAATTACCTACTCATTTATATAGAGGCTCGCAACTTCATTGGCTTAGCAGATCACCAAAAGAAACCTACCTAACTTCAATATTAAGATAAAAGGTGATTAAAATGGTAGTCCATTATTTATTAGAATGAAGGGTTGCAGATAGCCATATCCCAGTTTAAAACTTATGTTCCGTGCAAAGGATTTCTATACCTAAATAGATATTTAAGCTTTTAGCAGAAGATGCCAGAAACACTAAGTATATACGTAGTGTCGCAATGAATGTGTTTGCGACTGAATGATGACAAGAGGCTGAGTTCAAAGGCCTACCTACTGGCGAATGGCGAAAAGCGGGACAGTATCCTGAACCACCATCCGGCAAACCAAATTGTAACCCAGTAAACTTGCGTGTATTACAATTAATACTTGGTAACTTCTGCAGAAAGTTGAGCCTTATGTAACAATCATTGTTTTATAGTAAACTTTTGTATAACAGTGATTATACTTGATTTTAAAGATACAATAATTGTTTAATAATAAAAAAAATACAGTAATTAAATACTTTTTGTAACCAACAAACTAACTGACCCCATTTCACCTACATACAAAAGGACCCAATTGGAATTGGGTCCCTTTCCATATGGGTATATAAACAACAGTTGAGAAGCCCTTTTCAAGTTTTGTTTGAAAGATTTTATTTCGTAATTTTATGTCCAGAAGTCCAGAAATGCATCTTTATTTAAAGGATAAATAATCTTCCTATAATTTAAGTATCGAAAACAGTGATTTAGCTATAAAAGTAAAAAAATATACTCTGTTATCTACTTTCCCTATACTGTAATGGATATTTTAATAATATATCTAGCTAAAATAAATTGACAAATACGTGACATATATAATATATACGTAAAAGTCTTCATCTTATTATAGTAGTTACAGGTTAATTATATATACAGACATATTTATAGATATATTTGCAGTCATTTATGAAAGACTACTACTAATATGATACTTACATCAATGTACTGGTTAAGAGCTGACTGGCAAGCTAGAAGTTGATCGGATATGGAGTCAAGCATCGGCTGAAGTCTCGATGACTGTAAGAGTGCAGATAATCTAGGATCTGATTCTAAAACACGTGTAACTTGCCTAAAACCGTTATCTACTTTCCGAAACTTAACACCCAATTCTCCATCATCGTTAGAAAGAATTGGCTCCAAATACAACCATCTGAAATAAAAGAAAATGTTTGCCATCACTTTATTTGGGCTTATGTAATAACAAGGTTTTGGAGGTTCATTTAGAGAAGCATCCTAAACATCAAGCTATGCGATAAAATCAAACTTCTAGACATAAAAAACAAGACAAAAGTAAAAGATAGTGCAAAAACTTAAGTGGAATTAATTGGGTTGGCCATATGATGAATAATGATGGTGAATAATTATAATGTATATTTCAAGGAAAATGATGATTGTGAATGAATCGTAAGGAAACGTATTTATTTTTCAGTAATAAAGGCTTTATATATTTGTAATGACATGTGTTTAAACAGGGATAAAAGATTAGTTAGGACATACAATTTGCTTGCACTGACATCGGTCCGGCTAGTACAGACAGGGCTGTCTCATCAACCACGTTAGGTTAGCATCGATTTTTACTGACTACTTTTAATACGTTGTTAGAGCAAAAACGATGTTGACTTATATTTTATTTTATAATTTATTTTGTCAATATTTAGTACATTTTACAAGTTACAGCAATCAAGATGGTACATTATAAAACCTGTTAGAGCGCAGAATTTTGTTAAGCGCCGTTAATTATATTCGATACTTACAACCGAATCACTCGATAGTTATAAACGGTTCAGTAGGTAGCTGATAACTAATTTTCGAAGATTGTCATGTGACGTATCGAGAGATAGAGGCTCTATTAGGCATCTTAGGGACAACCATTCAGAAGATCTTGCATGAAGCGCTTGGTGAGAGAAAGCTAGTTTGCCGTTGGATACCGCATCTGCTTTCCGACGATCACAAGGCGGCACGCGTCAGATGGTGTGAAAAAACTCTGCAAAGGTTTAACCAAGGAGAGTCAAATCACGTCTACGACATCATCAGTGGTGACGAATCTTGGATCTATGCCTACAATCCTGATTCCAAACAACAATCTACAATCTGGGTCTTTCAAGACGAGCCAAAGCCGACTAAAGTTGTTCGTTCTCGAAGCACTTCAAAGATGATGGTGGCCACGTTCGTTGGAAAAACCTGCCATGTTGCGACTATTGCACTTGAAGATCGTAGAACGGTTAACGCAGAGTGGTATACCACAGTTTGTTTACCACAAGTCATCGTCGAACTTCGAAAATCTAACTCAAAGCGACGCATCATCCTGCACCACGACAACGCAAGCTCACACAGCGCTCGTCAAACGATTGAGTCCTTGAAGCAGGAAAAGTAGAAATTCTTGACCATCCATACAGTCCTGACCTAAGCCCTAACGATTTCCTTACATTTTCTAAAATTAAGAAAAGTCTTCGTGGTCAAAGGTTCCAGTCCGGTGAAGGAGCAGTCGACGCTTTCAAGTCAGCCATTTTGAACACCCCCACTTTAGAGTAGAATAAATGTTATAATAACTGGTTTGAGCGAATGGAAAGTGTATTAAGCTACGTGGTGAATATTTGAAATATAATAAAAAGTACTATGTATAAGGTTCTAATTGTGATTTTTTCTTCAAACGACAAATGTTTTATTGATATTCTTTAAATATTCACACGAGAATATGTTACGTGTGTGTAAATTACCCTAATTTTTTAAATACCTAATATCCGTATTAAGATTGTCTGTAAGGGAGCGTCGTGAGCGATAAGACCGCCTACTGTTACGTCTGCATATTTTCATCTTATTGTTTTGTGATTACAAAAAAGACAACTCATTTTTATTTATTTAAATAAAAACCAGTTGTTAATAACATTATACCTTTGTATTCTCCAAGTGTTCAACTACCAGCAGGCAGGAATAGACCAGGGCCAAACCATTATAAGTACCATAATATACGATAAATTCTTAGCAGTATATGAATGGTCGGAAAATGTAGTTAATGGTGTAAGTAATCAAGGAAAACTTTATCCCATTGAGTAAAAGTCCCGGCAAGGGGATGGAGGTTTTAATATATGTGTCATAGGGGATACTCGTTATTTTTTTTGCGATATTGCGGCCAAGCTATGAACAATAAATAAAAAAAAAAATTCATTACTTTCACTGAAAAGTCGATTTTGAAAAGCAGTTTTTCGCTTTTTAACGATATTTTGTGTATAAATAATATTATATTTTAATTCTATATTAAAGTAGAGATTTCAACGGAAAAAAAACTACATTTTCCCACCATTCGTATACCGTTAAGGATTTTTAATGCCTTAAACATGATTGGCCCTGGTCTAGACCTCAATAACAAACTTTTATTACGAATTAACTTTTAAAAAGTAATCTCATATCACTCAGTAATAAATTTAATACATATCCTATGTAAAAAATAGTGACCACTAAAAGCTGTATTTAAATAGTGGATCTTTTTCTATTACTATTTAATAAAACAAAATAACTTAGTGAAATATTTTATTAACAATTAAGTATTAATGCCTTCTATATTACAAAATCATTATGGAAATATAAAATAGCTTCTTAAATGCTCATACTGACTAAATAATGTAATAGGAATAAGAACTCATTGTATAAATGCATCAAATCGTAAGCAGATTCAAAACGTAATATAAAGTAAAAATACAGAAAGTAAACGGCAAAGGCAATGTTTAGAAATGTAACTTATAAAAATCATCCAAACTTCATGAGAGTTATTCAAGTAGATAGGTACGCTTTGCTTTTTTTTAAAGTATACATTCTTGAGAAAGAAAATACTTCTTTCTGATCCTGTGTAATGTAATATATATTAAGGATAGATAATAGTAATAACATTATTGTAAACTTTTTCACATTTAAAATACTTAATAAATGTACGTTTTATTTTACAATGTATTTCTTACTTATATTCTATACTAAACCATAGCCACAAAAATATTTATTTAAAAAAGTTGCATAACATGTACAATTGCTCTCAAAATTATTTTTAGTTTAGGTACATCAACATAAATTAACTTTATGTCATCACACCAGTAATAATTAAACTTTACTTCTTTGGAATAATTACCTACATAACTTAACCTATTATACAAAATTCATTTCTACTGAGTCGTTTAGACGTCATATATATTGCTAATTAAAAATGTAAGTAACTGTATGTAATTATTAAATTGTGTTGTCAGTTCACTACATTAAAATCTGAGATTCGAGTATTTTACAATCAGAAGCAACGTTTACAACCCACGCATTATTTTAATATCATATAAACACAATGTAGTTAAACTACAGTAAGAACGATGACTAAAACTGCACAATACATAACATTATGGCACACAGTTTTGACTTTTGGAAATTTTCGGTTAATCAGGAATTTGGTGCAAGCATATCAAATAAACTTGCAACCGTTTTACGTAGTGCAAGATCTATAATTGTCAGAACGTTTTGTTATTTCAGACATATAATAATTCATCTGGGTATTAAGATCACCTATTTCTTTCTCCAATGTATTTAATTGATCGTTGTGCGCATTATACAAATCTTCCATATTTGCTAACAATTTCAATTGCATTTGAGTATCGCTAGCAAGTTTGGTGGCACGTTTTAAAAGCACTTGCGCTCGTTCTCTTGAATTGGAAGTTTGACTGGCACGTTCCGAAAGCGACATATTAGTTTGTTTAAAATCTTGCCTCAATTGCCTTGCTTTTTGTTCAGCGCCCTCAGCGCGATTCACGACATCATTTGCTTCTACTTTCACCTGTTCTGCATCGCTTTCCACCTTTAATATATCTTTTTGTAAATCTGAGAGACGTAGGCGCAGTCTTTCCACTTCTTCTTTAGTTTCATTAGCTTTCTTTTGGGCTTGTTCCGTTTTAGTAGCTATAGGAGCCAAATCGCTTTTAGCGGCTTCAATGTCATTATTAGCTTTATTAATGGCATTTTCTGCAGCATCTTGTGCTGCTTGAGCTTCATCTAATGCCGCTAAAACTTTGTTTGCCATTTCTAGCGTCAAATTAGCCGACTTATTAATAACCGTGGCGTTTAGTTTCAGAGATTTTGCCCTCTCTAAATCTGGTTTTGTTTCAGCAATTATATTTTCGATGTTAGTCAATTGAGACACTGACGCATTGATACGTTGTGACAGTTCTGTGATTTCTTTAGGCTGTATACTGATAGACAAATTAAGTATATCGTTAGCTAAAGTTCTTACGTCCGCTGGTGTATTAGAGGTATTTGATAAAAATTCTTTTAACTCAGTTGTCAAGTCCTGACTTTCGTTTGTGATTCTCTCTGCCGAATTTTTGAAATCAAATGCATTTTTTAATAAATCTTTTGCTCGTGACCGTACATCGATAGTGTCTTGTTTTACTTGTGAAATTAATTTGAATAAATCTTCAGCTGTAAGTTCATGCTCCTTGATTCGATTTTCAGTTTTATTTGCAAAATCAAGAGCTTGTTCTGCTTTTGTAACAGCTCCCTGATCGCATGATATACCGCCACATTTTCCACAGCCTGCGCCTCCACAAATATCACATGCATCACTGTCTTGACCGCACATCTTTTCATTTAGTTTTGGAATTTGAGATTCTAATTGCGAAAGTTGATCATTGATGTTATTCAATTTCTTGTCATTTTCATTTTGTGTATTATTAAAATTAGAGTATTGCATCTCGATAAGACGGTCTGTATTTTTAATTTGTCGATCTGTATTTGCAATCACGGTTTGTACTTCTTCAGCTTCATCAGCGGCCACTACAGCTCTCTGTTTAGCTTCGCGTGTCAAGTTAAGAGCTCCTTCTAAATTAGCTTCTTGTAATTTGGTAGCGTTATTTCCTAAATCGAGAGTTTTTCCTTTCAAATTTTCAATACTTGCTCTTAAGCCGTCTAATGTGACATTGCCAAGACTGATGTTAGACGTTAAAGCATTAAGATTATTTTTACTATCTGTGACTTTCTTATCTGCACCATTTAATAGGTTCTGAAGACTTGTTACATTAGAAAGTAAGTCGATAACCGTAGTGTGCCCTTGTTTAGCACTCTGGAGCATATTTTCAATTTCGGTCAGTTTTTTGGTCATTTCATCAAAATCTCTTGTATAGGCTCCAGTAGCTCCAACAACTTTTATTTTACTAGCATTACCTATAGCATACTCCGTTTGTAAACGTAAATCATTTATTAAAAGATCCCAGTTGTCAAAACATTCGCCACAAGCATAGCACTGCGGTGCTTCACCTAGGTACCCTCTTGCGCACATGTCACATTTATATCCACCAATACCTGGTTTACACACGCATGAACCAGTACTCCTCTCACATTGACGTGTTACAGAACCGTCTTCATCGCAGTCACATTCGTAACACTCGACATTAGGGTCACCCCAATGATTTTCTTGACATTGATCACACTGCCTACCTCCATATCCTGCAATACAACTACATTTACCAATATATGGATTACATTGGGATGATAGAGACCCAATCGGATCACATTCACAAGGATCGCAGCCCGTTCCTAAGGCTATTCTCCAATGGTTTTCGGTGCATTGATCACAGTTTAATCCCATGACATTTTTGAAACAGGGACATTGACCTGTATTACGATCGCAATTGCCTATAGTAAAGTTGGTTCCTAGTTCGGAGCAATTACATGGGTAGCAAGATTTTTCCTCTGCGTTACCGTAGTATCCTTCTGCACAAATTTCGCAGTGATCGCCAGCAGTGTTGTGTAGACACTTCAAACATTTGCCTGTATAGGGATCACAATTACCAGGCTTTGTTAAATCTATATTTTCATTACAATCGCATTTTTCACATGTGCCTTGTATTGGGTCTCCGTAGTAATTATCAGCGCAAACGTCGCACAAAGGCCCAGCATAACCTTCCTTACATTCGCACAAAACATCATTTGTATCAGCATCTAATTCACAACGATCTGCATGACTACTTTTGTTTGGTTCACCTATTATCCCCGGACATGGACAGGGCCTACATGGTATATCAACTCCTAGACGAGGGTCTCCGTAATATCCTTCTACACATCTTTCACATCGATGGCCTTCAGTAAAATCTCTGCATTCTTTACAGGCTCCTGTCTTGTCGTCACATTCGATAGCATGTCCATTGCAATCACACTGTTGGCAATTGGGGAAGTTAAAGTATCCTGGTTGACATAAATCACAAGCTCTTCCATAAGTGTTTGCTCTACATTTACATTGTCCACTTACTGCATCACAAAAATTGTCTAAAGATCCTATACTATTACAATCACAACGCTTGCAACCAAATTTACTGAATCCATACGTTCCAGGAGCACAACGATCACACCTAGCTCCAACAATATTTTCAACACATTGACAATATCCAGTATACCGATCGCATTGATGACTCTTGGAACCCGTAGGATCGCATTGACAAGACTGAGATCCATTTCTGATGTAAAAACCTATGCTAACATGGTATTTCTTACAAATTTCTGGAACATTTTCTCTATTAAGGTTGTAATAATACTGGTTGCCACAGTTGTGTCGATCAAATTCTTCTCTCATTGAGGTATTTTTTGCTAAAAATGGAATATTATCAATTGATGCAATCAGTGCAATGGAATCAATAAGGATAGACGCCCTGGCGTTTGGAGCACGGTGATCTTGACGTCCTATGTAAATCCTAATAATTGTTTCTTTATCTTTTTCCAAACATACTGCTGGTGTTACAAGTAGGCTACTTTGGTTTGGTAACCTGATATTTATAGTATCATCTTCTGGACGTACATTCGCACAAGGTGAGTCTGCATCGGGTGGTGGTCGTTTTATTAAAATAGTAGCCTCTTCCCAATCTATAGGAGACTGGGGTTCATACCTAACTAAAATATTATAGTTCATACTTTTCTTTATATTATTTACAACAAATACAATTGTACTACTTTCGGGTAATTTCATGAAACCTGGTCCGGTCCAGGTCTCTTTTCTTCCGTCTGGATAATTTTCCCTAATAACAACGTGACAAACTTGACTTTGAATAGCATTTTCATCAGATTGCGAATCGCATTGACTTGATTCACCTTCAATAACGAGAGAATCAAGGGCACCTACATAAAAGTTTTGTATAGGTTGGTCACATCGACGTCCTGAAACATTTGGGCGACATTTACATTGTCCTGTTATAACATCGCAGTCCCGGTCTAAAGAACCTCCTAAGTCACAGTCACAAGGTTGACAACCATCCACACTATCAGATAAACCATAAAATTCTGGTAGGCACTGATCACAATTTCTTCCAGTAACATGACGTTTACAAAAGCAATTTCCAGTTGCAGCATCACAGCCTCGTTCGTTAATAGTACCTAAGCTGTTGCAAGTACACGCTTTACATCCTTCGGGGTTAAGAGGGTCAAAATTCCAAAATCCATCTTTACATCTATCACATCTTGTTCCATCGACGTTCGCTTTGCAAAGACAGCGTCCAGCACTTTTTTCATTTTCGGTATCAGTCTCATCATCACAAAGTACTTCTTTATCTGTGGTACCTTCCGGATCACAGTCGCAAGGTTTACAAATATTTGGACTCTGAATGTCCGAGGCGGGGTCTTTATAAAACTTTGGCTTACAACGTTCACAATTCACACCCATCGTATTATGCTGACAGTTATCACACACACCTCCGCTGATTTTGCCTGTTTTATTGTACACAGCAGGATCAAAGTGACATTTAGTTGCGTGGTTGTTACATACACATCTCTTACAAGCGTTAGAAGTTTTTCCAACTGCTGGTTGCCAGGGAAGGTCGTTGTAGAAGTCTTCACAGTATTCACAATTTAAACCTGTAGTATGATGAGTACACTCACATCTACCATGTACCATATTGTTCTTAGATTCTACTTCAGGCATAGGCAAACAGCGAGAAGCGTGTCCATAACAGGAACATGAGCCTCTTACGGTCATTTCATATATAGCGTAATAGTATTTTTCTTGAATTTCCGCTCTATTGTCCAGTTTGTCATCACCAAGCGTATGAAGTTTGGTAAAGTTAATTCGAAGATTCGTCATACGCAATAGATTTTGTACTTCTTCGGAATAGGGGTTGGTCACGTTAATATTGGGTGGTAAAACTCTAAATATAACTTCACCTTCTGTAGATGGAGAAACACCAGAATAACGAGATTCACAAACCACTTCAGTCAGTGAACGTTGTGTGTGCTTAGGAACTCCCGGAAAATAAAGATCACAATTGTGGGCAAAGTATCGGTACACACGCCAAGTTTGTCCAAAGTCAAAAGATCTCTCAACTAGCATAGCAGCCGGTCGAAATGTTTTAAACTGTATTATCAAATGAGTAAGATGAAATTCAGCCTCCATATTGAGTTCTATTGTAACATTTTCCTTTCCATTTTCGGATTGCCACCAAGATCGGGTTCGAGTTCCCGGGAAATACTTGTAAATAATGTTCTGTATTCGGTGATTATATTCTGGCTTGAGGTAGGTAGCATTGGTAGTTTCGCATGAAAAACATTTCTTCGGTTCCAGATGTGAAACAATGCAGTACCGTTCACGACCATGTAGCCCGCACGTAGAGGACGCAAAGAGGCGCGCCTCGCGGCCTATTAGCAGGTTACCGGTGGCGGGATAACAGGAACTTAGCTCACATGAACGTTCATAAGACCGTAAGTTTGCACGAAGCCGGTCGCGTTCCTTGTTGTACAAGGCGGTGCCGCTTGCGATAAGCGCCGCGAAGATAAACAAAGCGCGTAAAGCCATGGCGCAGTACAGGCCTTCCGCGCAACGCTTACTGCACTGTCGGCGGCTGCGGACAGACACACTCTCGCGCCGCCCGAAGCCTCCCCGCTCACCCCGCTGCCCCACATTCTACAGAGAGGGACTAGGTTGAATGCCTTACTTACTATAAGCATCGCATGATTATAAGTGCGCAGTTTAAGTAATAAGTATATTTACTGTCATTGTATTACATATTGTAGGATGGATCACAACATTTCTTGAAGTCTGTGTTTGGAACTAGAATTATTCGGGGTTTGAAAGTAATTAATAAGAGTTTACAAAATGTAGAATAGTACAAAAAGTCTTTTCGTAAAAAATCAATTACTATTTCTATTTTAAGTACTTCATGGCAACTTTTGCCAAATAAATACTAGTTATCAAATTTTAAATAAGTGACCTACGGGGCACAACACTAACAGGCTAACTCATGTACGTAGTGCTTAAAATTTAGGAAAATGTTTACAAGTTACTTGGGCAAATTACACCTATGAGGCTTTAGAAAGACCTTATTATAATATGTAATATTGTTATCCTCATGCTTATGCAACTTAAAAATTAACCCATAAGGATAATTAATAAAACATGTTTTTAATAAATCTAGCAAAATTGGATAACTGGCGCTGCACTACTGTGCGTTTACAAGATACTTTTTGCCTCGCACAACCTATCCATGGAACAAGTTATCGTCTGCGATGATGATGTCGTATCGGTCCGGAAATATCGCAGACGATAACTTTCCACTCCAAACCTTCAAGAAAAGGGCGTCCTTGCTCAAAGACCGGCAACGTGCTTGTGACTCCTGAACTGCAGGCGTTCATGGGGAGCGGTAGTCGCTTTCCATCAGGTGCCCGTCTGCTCGTTGCGCGGATTTCATAAAAAACAGATGTTCAACGAGATATTACTATGTCTTTTTAGCTAATTATGTTATTTTACATAATTACGTTATGTCCTCTTTGTCATTGAAAATTTAGGATTCTAGTTTTATTGACAATTAATTTACAGGGGATTCATAATGTAATTCGGCTACCTACCTATCAATGACTGCGCCTATTTGTAACTTGCCTTATATCGAGAACGTCTTCAGTAAAGCTCATCATTATCAGTTGGTATTTTTGCAATTTGTATTTTTTTAGCAACTGTTGCCAATTTTTTACTTCTTACTTTTTTTAGTCGTAATAAGAAATTAATCATCATTATTGACTAAAAAATAAAAAAATAATTTGTTAAAAAAAACAGGGTTTTCATAGTTATTTTTTTTTAATTGTGTGAAATTGAACACGGCCGAAGTGAAATTTCAGAAAAATATATTTGATAATATAAAAATATTCACACTGTCAAAGTATTATATTTAAAAAAAAACACGTGAATGATACACCACGTTGTTTATGACACATTTTCTGAAGGCTTCGTTGTACGCAGGCGCAAAGGCACTGAGGTCTGAATACTTTGAAAGTTTCTCTGCTGGTATGGTATTTTGTAGGTTGTGTGTGTTTGGTACAGCGATGTCTATAAATTGTGCAGTTTTATTCATTTTATATACTAAGGTTATGTCAGGTCTATTGTAATGTATAGTTTTGTCCATTAAAATTGCACGGTCAAAGTATAGCTTATGTGTAGAGTTTTCTAAGACAATTTGCGGTGAATTTTTGTAATAGGGTGTTGGCGACGAGGTGATCAGTTTATATTTTATTGCTAGTTTTTGATGGACAATGTTCGCTATTTGATCATGTCTGTGTTTGTAGTCAGTTTGAGCTGTTGTTTTACATGCTTCTGTAATGTGTTGACTAGTGTCTGAGGTGCTATTACATCGTCTACAAATTTCTATTGTTAGAGGAACACGCATAATATGTTTTTGGTAATTACGGGTCTCTATAACCTGATCTTGAATCGCTTGCATGAAAATTATTATAATTAATATGTTTGTCTATTTTATTGGCGCTTTTTCGTTTCATCGCATTTTCAAATCACAACGGTGCTAAAGAAGTTTTACTTCAAAAAACCCGTTTTGGACATAGACGACCTAAAAATAAAAAGTAGGAAATAATTTTCTATAAATAAAAAAAATATATATCGTATCTTTTATTTGTATTTGATAATCATAGGGGTTAAAGTATGGCCCGACATGCCACCGGTGGTAACCGAGGGGATCCGCACGGTAAAAAAAAGGGGTTAAAGTATGAAATTGCCGTTACATAGATACTTTGAATTGACATAAAACCTTCATGGTGTAAGATTTTCTTGTAAAACTTTTTTCACATGATACCTATGAGGTTCTTCTTTTAAAAAATGTGCAACATTCGATTTTCGACTTTTTATTTTTTTTAGCTTAGACGTGAAAGATGGATACTTCGAAAATTCAAATCATTTTTGAATACGAGTTCCGACGCGGAACTAACGCTGCAGAAACGGCTCGCAATATCAACGCTGCATTCGGAGAGGAGACTGCTAATAAACGCACCGTGGGGTTTTGGTTCAAACGCTTTCTTAATGGAAACTTAGACTTGAAGAACCAACCATGTGGTAGACCACCCACACAGGTGAACAACCCTGAATTGAAGAAGATGGTGGCAGCCGATCTGAGTCAAACTACTCAGGAATTAGCGGCATGGTTTAACGTCACCAATATAATAATACACAATATTGACTCATTTGCGTCAAATCAATAAGATAAAAAAATATGAAAAATAGGAGCCTCGTGATTTGACTGATCTGCAGAAAGAAATGCGTGTTGCAACTTGTGTTGCCTTGTTGAATCGGTACAGAAATGAAGGAATATTAGATCGTACTGTGACATGTGAACGAAAAGTGGATTGTTTACAATGGCTGACCCCAGGTCAAACGCCGCAACAGTGCCCTAAAGAAAATCTTACCATACCAAAAAGGCAATGATATCTGTTCTGTGGTCTCTTCTTGGTGTTATTCACTATAACTTTCTCAGGTTTGGTCTGACGATAACAGCAGATGTTTACTGTGCCGAACTTCGAACAATGATGGCGAAACTGACAGTGAAACAGCCCTGACTCGTGTATCGCTATCTTCACCATAATTGCTCCATGATAACGCAAGACCTCACACTGCACGAGAAACCGTTGTAACTCTACAGGAGCTGCAGTTAGAAACGTACTCGCCAGACCTTGCTCCAATGGACTTCCTAGAGTTCTATTGTAAAGCTATAAACGAACTTCCGTTCAGATGGCAGCAATGTATAGATAATGAGGGTAGATATTTGATTGATCGATTTGATTAAATAAATTTGTTACATCTTAGAAAAAAAACAGTATAAATCGGCGATTTCATACTTTAAGTATGAAATTGCCGATTTGTACTGATTTTTTGCCCCTAATATAATAACTTTACTTTTACCAATAACTGTCTGTACAATATTTTTACAATTGAGTTTAAAATACAATTGAGATATAGCACCCACGCTTTATATGATAAAATTATTTTTCGTTTTCACCAGGGGGACATACTTCACACATCTCACATACGGCTGTCTGATCCTAAACTAGGCAGAGCCTCTGCTATGGTAACCAGACTGCTGATAAACATACTTATATATTTTTAAATAAATACATATTATTGATAAATTACACCCAGACACAGAACAAATGACCGTGCTCATCACACAATATTTGTCCTGAGCGGGAATCGAACCCACGACCTCCGGCTTAGCAGTCAGGGTCACTAACTACTAACATGGCAAATAAATCATCGTGAAATCCGGCCCTGTGCGAGGCGACGACCGCTCCCGCCCGCGCCCCCTCACGCTCAGTCCGTTCTCCGAAATGGGCACTAAGGAACAGAAATAACACCGCATTTCGGGATGCGCTTTTTGTTTTGGTCATTACTATAACAACAAGTTCCTAGTTCTGTTAAGTCGCTACCTATAACACTTCCCATAACTTAATAATTACTATTATTTCAAGCTTGTTTTCTGATTTACTGTACGTATTTACATAAAATGTGAATAATTTTATGCACCTAGGTAGCTAATTAAACGTTGAAATAAATATAGATTTTACGAGGTTTCTTTGGTTGATTGCCGTTATAACTGATAGATATGAACAGTCCGTTCGCATACCGCCCTTTACATCCGTCGCTGATAACATACATCCGCGATCTAAATGACCCAGACAGAAAGAACCAACAACTTAAATATTTCATTAATGTATTAAGAACATCTATTCATAACCGAGTTACATCTCAAACGTATTTTTAAAAGGAAGAATTAAGTATGTGATGAAACCCTTCCTTTATATTTATGACGGATTTCGATGACTATTTTTCTTTTCGTATTTTTATGTTGACTAGCTCAAATATAACCTGGAACTAAATGGTTTGGAAAGGATTAACATTCCTTTGCAAAAAAGAACAGAGGTTCAAAGACATTATTCTTTTATGGGTATGGTATTATACTTGCGGTGTGGCCCTTACGATTAAATTGCGCAATGAACTGTTCACTAGATTCGGGTTCAGTTAACTTGTTAGTGTCGAGTAATGTTTAAAATAGGTAATCAAACTATTTAAGTGCTTAAAGCATAAAATAGGAGTATTACTACGCATTTAGGTCAATCTTGAAGGCATGTTACCTGTTACGTTTTAATGCTAAATGCTGCCTAATGCTCCAACAACAAATAATGCTTCTTGTCCTGCCCACTAATAAGACTTTCCTAAGGGAATGTCCTTTATATGTAGATAAGAAATTTAGTCTGTTTAGGTAGCTTGTTCACCTTGTACTCTTTTTCTTTTACTGTACCTACTTAGTACTCTTTTTCTTTTTTAAACCCCTCGGCTTGTTACCTTACTGGGGACAAACGGCGTCCAAATGTCGGATTCGAACTGAGTGAAACACAGTGTTCTGTCATCGGGTATTATGCCGAGGTCTCGGGTGTGCCCTAGCAGGGAAATAACTATGAAGCCTGACAGACCCATACCTAACACATCTTCAACTTTTTTTTTCACTTTCATCTTATACTGAG